GTTAACCCTTAGTGGCAGGGGGGTTGTTTTTATCCACCCCTCAGGTTTTTCGGGAATATCTCCGAAACCACTGAAGCTACGATGCTGAAATTTTCTGACTTTTCCTAAAACTAAATTGGGCACATTCCCTGAAAATTTCAAGTTCATAACTTTACCAGGGGCGGCTCCAGAGCACTGGGAATTGGGGGGTCCTTTTCGTGAAGCGAGTCGTTTGGGCGAAGATCACGATGCTGCACCAGTTTTACGAACAGTGAATGAAAGGTATCATGTGATAACATATACAGTTATTGTGCATCTTCTTTTGACACGTTTTTGCTATAATAGGCGGATCCAGGCGTCCAAAAAGGGGGTTATGTTTTACCTCCCAACATAGGTGCCCTGACACCGCCTATGCATGACCAATACAATTGTAGTCGTTCTCTCATAAGAAAATTGTAACATAACAGGACCATTACCACCCTTTTTAGAAACGGTACCAACAAAAACCTTATTTACTATACTTTTTGTGTACCCCCAATCTCAATGATCTGTATCCGCCTATGATTTTTGAAAATGCATATTTTTAGGATCCATGTTAATTCCTGGTTCATTCTCCATCGATTGGCAAAAGTTGCGTTAAGATTGGTTCAGAAACCTGGCCGTGATAAACAGTCTAAAATGTATCTGCAATTTGCCCGTTTTTACCCCCCTCTACCCCCCCCCCCCTATTTACATTTTTTAATTTTTATTTTTTTAGAAATGTAGATCACGTTGAGCGAAATCGAATGCCGTTTGAATTTTGAAAATCGGCCCGGTAGATCTCGAGATATCAAGGGGGGGGGGGTCGTAAACAGCCCCCCCTGCCACTAATAGGGGTAGCCAGGAGCCTGCCACTAATAGGGTTAAAGCGGCCCAGGTTGGTAGTGGAAAGTGAAAGATCTTGCATTTGAGTCTGTCTACATAGAACACTATGAGCTTTACGCGTTCAATAATGTTGATTTCGCAATCAAATGTGTGTTTATTGCATTAGTGCGCGAGCATATCATTGCAAAATGGCATTCAAAATCTTCGTATGATTATCACCGATGGTCAGCCGTGGTGGTGACGCTCCCGTGAGCAGGTGATCATCCGAGCAGTTCTTGGCGGAGTTCCACGTCTGCAGCTGACCTCGTATTCCTTACTCTCCTTCAGTAGCACGTGCCCCCAATCCGTGCGCGTGCCGAGGTTCATTAGCGAATTGTGTTAGGTATACCGCCATTAGTCAGTGAGAAGATCATAAAAGTGAACAGCAGTGGACCGATGATGGGTCCCTGAGTCAGCCTGTGCTGACGGCGGGCAGCGAGTGTGAGCATATGCACATGTCGAAATAATTCGACCGTCTTATACCAGTATTGCATGGTACATGTGGCTTGGATTCAGTGATTAAACTGCTATTATAAATTCCACATCATTAACACGTTTTATTACATGCCTGAGGCTCATTTAAGGTTCGATAACCTTTGACGATGCACCCAACGCCATCGAAGTAAATTTTAGTTCCAGTTTTTGCTCCACTAGTTTGGTTTAGTTGTCAGTTGCTTTAAATGCACGCGATTGCCGTTCAAAGTTTTATATAGATGATTTGGCATGAAGAGATATGAGAGCAATGAGATGCGTTTGTGGTCAATACGGATCAGTAAGCTAAATACTGTAGTGTCTATCAATTTTTGCTCGAATGTAAATCACGAGAGGAATGCAATCTGTGAGAACTAGCAGCTGCCTCCTTTGCAAAGCTCTGGTTGCAGCTCCCTGACTAATTCGTCACCAGATTGACAGCAGGTCCGTCTCAGATGGGGCGTGTCGGTTGGCACGGCCCGTCACCACTGCACAAATAAGCAGCCATTGATGACCCGAGCCAGACCGCAGCGCTATCTGGGCCTCCTCAGCACGGCCTCATGGCCTCCGGCTGCCCTCAATGCAGCTCTGTGTGCGGTGGTCCGAACGAGCCCAGCTGTGGGGGCGAGGTCAGTTAGGCGAGGACAGTTTGTCCGTCGGTCGCGCCGTCCGCTGTCCTCCCACCGATGACGGTGGCGCCCCTGGCTCCGTCAAGAGACGGCCACGAGTCGATGTCCACCGCCCCCGTACGGATGGGTCGCTCCCAGTGTGGACGGCCTCTGTCCGCCGTCCACCGCCCCCGCACAGACGGGTCAGAAAGACGTCTCCTGTCCGCTGTCTTCAGAACCTGCTCCCCTCGCCACCCCGCCACTGTGCACTTCCGTGGAACAGAGCTGGTGCCTGCTGCCGTCCCCACCCCTCAGCCGCCGGTCCCGTCGAACAGAGCTGGTGTCTGTGCCTACCGTCTACCCACGGTGTCGTGCAGACAGAGCGGGTCCACGGCGGCACGAGTGGACAGCGGTGGTGACGTCTGCCCGTCCACCGCCCCCGCACCGCACGGCGGGCATCGCCCCGACCGGCGCGGCGGCGCGGCGCGGCGGTCAACTTGTTTGTTTGCTCGGCCACAGCTCGGATACAGCTCGCGCTGGACTCGCGCTGGACTCACGGCTGGCTCGTGCTCGGCTGAGGGGGGGGGGGACAGGAACGTCTGCGTTCCGCGGTCAGAGAGTGATAGCCGAGGTCGTGTCCAGCGTCGTCGTCCGTCACACTGAGCAAACATCCAGGTCTGTCGTCCATGACAGATTGACCGGTCGCGGAAACTCGGGGGACGGCGTCGGAATTTCTGCAGTCGCGCTTAGAAACAGTCGCATGGGGTGCTATAGAGGGTGGTGATGCCGTTATTTGAGCCGGTAGTCTTGTGATCCAACGTTAGAAGATAGATAATGAGATAATAAAAATGAAAAAGAGAGAAGCGAAAAGCTAATGAACAGAGCTGTGAGAGATATAGTGGGAGAGAGAGAGAGAGAGAGAGAGAGAGAGAGAGAGAGAGAGAGAGAGAGAGAGAGAGAGAGAGAGAGAGAGAGAGAGAGAGAGAGAGAGAGAGAGAGAGAGAGAGAGAGAGAAAGAGAGAGAGTCGGAGCGCGGCACATGACACAGAGGCGAGAGGTGTGCTCGTGCCGCGCGCGGCCTCTCTGTCCGATAACACGGAGTCGCCGCTGATTATATGCGCGGAGTGTGCTCGGGCGGATGTGAGCCACGCCGTGTTTGTTTGCTGCTGACAAACAGCGGTGGATGGAAGAATGGATACAGGTAACGTGAAATGCGGGCTCCACCAGGCGCTGCGTACCGAGGACGGTAGACCTGCTCTTCGCAGTCCCACCGCGTGCCAAACACGGTAGATAGCCGCACCGACTCCGTCAATAGTGTATTACGCCTGGGAGAGACCGAATCCAGCCAGTATGGTGCTGTACTGCTGTACCGTCCAAAAAAGGAGCTATCACATCAAGAGACGGGTGGTAGGTACCGAGTCTGGGCATGGCCGTAGTCCTTACAAGGACTCGATAGGTAAGTTCGCGGCCAGTCTCTGAGGAATGCTCATCCCCGCCCTTGAAGACGGCAGCGTACCCCAGCCACGCCCCTGGGAGGCAACAGACTGTCTCTGGGAGACAGCAGGTGCTAGCCACGCGGCATACACGGCTAATGCACACGCAGCGCCGTGGTAGGCAAATATCGGCCGCTGCACGCCGCATCACGTACGTACCCCAGAGCACAGTGGGGCTGTTGTCCGACGTGTAATTCTGTGGAAAGCATCGTCGCGGCTCGCTTTCGTGCCTTTGTAACCGCAGGTTGTTTGAAAATCAGACAAACACTACATATTCGTTAGAATTGTGTTTAGTTCTATTGAAAAACAACAGGAGCAGTCCGTCACCGGGCTATCTTTTCCATGCTCGCAGTATGTCTGGGCTGCGACCCGGTGCAAGTGCAAATTTTTGCAAAAAAAATGGAATGCTGCGGGTGGTGAATAGTGAATCATCTTATTGCGTGAAACATTCATAGTTCAAGTAAAAACAATAATTTTGTCTCATGAATATCAAACTTCCATACTGATTTTGTTGCAAATAATGTCTCGATGTGGAGCCTCAAGTTGAGACCGCCGTACCCGAAAACACCAGCACACCCGCTCATCGTCGCTGTTAAATGTTTATCGCAGCGCCTCAGGTTTGGTGTCGCACGGTGCAATGGCCGATGGGCATAGTTGCCGGCTTACGTCACCGTATAGTTCAGAGAGACAGAGAGGCTGTCAGGCCGGACCATTACATCTGCACGAAAACTCCCTCGGCTCGTGCTCGAGCGACGTTCCTATGGATGTTCGTGATGTGATGACAGGATTGACGTGACGTGCTGAAAGGTCTGTCATGACACACTGTTTTCAGGGTATTGGCAAGTATGTCATGACACATTGTTGCAGACAGGTCTTTCGTGTCAGCCAGGTCAAGATGAGCGTGCCTGATGATGGTATTCTCTGACATTGGGTGACCCGTGAATGAGATTGGCGAAGAAGAGCAAGAAAATGTTACAAGTTGCAATATTTCAGAAGCGATGCGGGTGAAAACGACGTTCTCTACGCAATCCATACTCCGTTTATAAAAACCAGAGCTCTCTAACAGCTAGCCAATATTAGAAAGAAATACGACCGAAGCACTTCAGAACGACTCAAGTAGCACGCATTAAGACATCAATCATCATCAATAGGTTTTAACGGATGATCTTGGTAGTTGGTCCCTCCTGACGCTTGCAGCATAAATCGCACTTACGTCCGACATCATTCGCAAATAACTGCAGACGCTAAGACGATATATGGACGGGTAGACAGACCTGTAAGTCAAAGACGACGCTGTGCTAAAAACCAAGAGCTGCTGAGCCGAGCCCTGATGACAGGCGGTTAGGTGATTACTGCCGAAGGCAAACATTTTTATCGAAGGAATCAAAGCCTAGAAAGACTGCCTTCAAACAGCCTAAGATGGCTGAGCAATAATTTTGCTACCAACTAGTTACACTCGGAGTCAGAGGCAGTTGGCCCCCGTGCGGAGAGGATATTTACCTCAGTGTAACTCGGGAGCCCTGAAACGGGTGCCGTTGGTACTCACATGTCCTTGCTGAGCCGGAGGTCGGCCGTGACGACGGACCAGCAGAGCAGTGACGCCAGCAGTGCCGTCCTCATGGTCCTGGTCCGCGGTCACACAGACCACTCTGTCGACCGGCCGCACCGATACGAATCAGTCTGTCTTCGGGCTCTAAAGACGGGTTCTGTCTCACACTTCCAGAACCACCCGGGACACCTCACCGGTCCGCTGCACGTCCACTAGCACTGAGCACTGCAGCTGATCACTGATCACTAACCATTTATCACCGATCACTACCCATGATCCACTGCTCACGTGCCGTCAACGGTAAACCAGCGATCAATTCCAGTCACTGAGCGCTTACCAGACGATCTGCGACCCAAACACCCACACCCTGATACCGTCGGGCAGCCGCAAATTCGCCAATGAGGCACATGCGAGCGGGCGTCTGTGTTCTAAGCACCACGCGCACCCCGGCACAGTCTGACGGTGGCGGTGACGCTGACGCTGACGGTGTGGCTGCGACGAGGCGGCGGCGGCTCCCGGCAGCAGATGTCTGTAACAGAGGTTGTCGAAATGAAATAACTCACATCACAGCAGGCACGTGTCGGCGACGTCGACACAGGTGTGCGGGCCGGGGCGCCAACGAACGGATAGATATTGAATAGAGACTTGTTATGTTATACAGATGACCAATCGTGTAAATTTGAGCTTCAATGCCAATAAAAGGTAGGTAATAAAAACTGATGGAATTAAATGCTAGGAAAAACTAAAAAAAACTGCACAGTGCACAAGGATTGGTTTCAATTTTCAACGGATAGGTATAACTGTATATCGCAATTAACTGCAAAGCACAGGATTGTATTTGAAAAATGAATTGTAGGCACTACGTGAGCTTAGATAGAGCCTTCGATCACGTGTGCGCCTATCAACGGTTAAATGACAGAGGCATGGCAGAGGTCTGATCTGATGATTGACTACCCAGGTCCCACGGTGAGGATTAGAAAGCCGTCCAGTCGGGAGTTCACGATTGGAAGGGGACAGCTGTGTTAGGAGTATAAGTTTATGTGAAGACGGAATGGTACACTGCCACAGCTGATATGATTCAGTCCGACGATTGTCAACAGCGCAACACAGCTGGTTTTCTTCTTGCTCGGGCAAGAAGTAATCATAATAAGAAATAATAAGAACTGTGGCTACCCTTGTGGTTTGCACTGCACGATCACAGAGGGGAGTGAGTAAAAAAAAAACATCAGAACATACACATGTTTATCCGCAGTCGTTTGGGTACGCGACAGTCCGTATTCGGTGCCGCGGAAATCTGTCGAGACAAGCGTCACGACGTTCTCTCCCATAGGCGCCACGACATCCTTCCCTCACGGCGCCGCGGACGTCCTTCTCCCTCACGGCGCCGCGGACGTCCTTACTCCTTTCTATCACGGCGCCGCGGACGTCGCGTCCTGGGGTCGCCACGGACGTCCTGTGTCGGCAACGATGGCGGCGGAGTCGGAATCACGGTCCCGCCGGCGCCACCGTCTCCCGGACGGAGCGATAATACAGGTCGGGCGCCGCGGTCCGAGCAGGACGTGTTGGAGATCGACGGTCAGTCGGGCCAGTCCCAGAAGACGAAAAGATAGATCGGAGCTTGTGTCGCGAAACAGCTGATTGATCGGTCTGCATTTAACGCGCAAAGGAGAGAAATTGCCGCGGGGGAAGGGTGAGAATGGGCAACTCCCAGCACATCCCTTCCCATCCGAGTTTTCGATTTGTCTCGCGTAAATTGATGTCTCAATCGCCACGCTCCGAGGCTTTTACCTCAATCGACGACACCAGTAACAAATGACGTCATTTGTCGGGAGATCATAGATGACGTCATTCATTGACGGTCCCTTGGGTCCTTGGACAGATAAGACTCAGTTCGGTGCTGAAAGGCTAGATCGACGGTAGTTTGTTTTCATGGCGTGGTTAGGTGTGAGTTGGTTTCAACGTCAGGACTTATCTCAGAAACTGTCCATCCTTATCTTATCCAATCATCATTTAACCATCGATACTACAGCAGCACGATAGTAGCATGGATCTGCATCGAAATTAAACCAGATGACTTCAATAGATTGCTTGCAAGCAAGGACAAAATACGATACCATTTCGAACAAACAATGTGGAGTATTAATAAGAACTGTGGCTCACAATGATCGTTTCGGGAGTATCGCGGTTATTCATCGGCGTATATCGAATTGGGGTTCGGTTGAAGTGATCGTAAAATAAAGGAGGAATCTCATTTCGTTCATATATAAATACATAATACAAAACAATCCATATAACTTTGGAAAGCTATCGCCATCCGAAACGATTCTTCGTCGAGTTAACTCTTAATCGCATAAACATTTTATTATTACGCAATAGCATATAGCTTAAGCTATATCAGCGCAATGTAATCTTAAAACCTACTCAGGTTGGGTTCTTGTAAGAGTTTCAGGTTAGGTATTGTAACCGTAGCCTTCAATGTTACAAAAAAAAAAATCAGCAAGATCACAATAGACTGAAACGTGATGTAAATAAATACGTGCTTCTACCTCCAGTATTTTCCTAGACGGGCCAGCAGTCGCCGCTGACAGGAATTTCCCGCACGCCACAGCTCGAGATATCACTCCTCGCCCGACGATGTCCGATCACGGGTCGCCCGTGTCAAATGCCAGCGCCGTCGCTCGCTGTCGTCCGCGATTTGGCGTGTAAACAGAGCTCGTGGGGCCCGTGCACTAGAGCGACTCGTCTGCACGGATTGGGGGTGGGGGTATCGGGGTACGGCGATGGCTCGCGGCCCGCTCAGCTGACCAGAATGGGATCGGAGCTGGGAGAGAGTCGCATAGGATCGGCAGACAAATCAGCCTGCTTCACAACGGTCAATTATGAAAGATGACAGTTGATGACAGCAGGTGTGACAACAAATGACAAAGATGACAGGGCCACGGCCCACGGTGCCACTAAGTGGATACCACGTTTGCGTTGTAAGCGTGGGGAAGTCGATCACGCTAGCTTCCATTTTGCGTTTCCAGTTGCAGTAGCCACCTAGTCAGACGGAAACGTCAGGCTCGAGGTTGGGCGTTGGCCAATAAACTATGCTGCACTAGGCAGTAAGTAGGTCACAAAAATGACAAGAAAAATAAAAATGACTGCCCCATGCACCCAGTGCGGTCAGTTCTGACATTAACCAGTGGCGATGAATCCTTAGTGGCATCAACTCGCTCGTTCTCTAGAACTTTACGTGCCTGATCATGTGTCTGCAAGCGCAAAATTAAGCTCTGCCATGTAGCCTGGCGTGCACGATTTCGTATACAATCCAATGGCATCATCGCGGGCTCGATTGTTGCCCCTGAGGCTGGTGATTCATGTCAGCTTCTTTTCGCTTCATGAATAACCATGTATGACCATACTAAGCCGTGAGCGCTAGCCCCGGTCGGCCAACACCCTCTGTTGGACCCCCGCAGGTAGACCTAGTCCCCGCCGAGCTGCAGAGCCACAGTGCATTGTTCAGCGCCCGGCACCCACTGCATAGAGGGCGGTTCCCTCCACTCCGGCAGAAAGAACGCGCCGACTCTACCCTCTATCCACTAACCAGTGTGTCCTCGGTAAATAGAAGCCCTTTGGTGAACAGAGGCAATGTTTGTACTGTCCCAAAGGTGTGAGGGTTGTTATTATACCGGTTACAGAAGATAAAACGGCAGCATATGCATTTGCGAAACTGAAACGCCGCAGTCGGACTTGAACCTCACTACCTGAACGGGCGGAACCGCATTTGCATCTGGATATGCATCAGTGAGCTTCCTAGCTTAACAGCTTCCCTGCGGTTAGAAGCAAGAAGCAAAGCACATAAGGGAAGAAAGGAAAAGCTGTAACGTGTGTCGTGTTTGGTACGTACCTAGATTTTATTATTTTTATTTATCAACCTAAGTTTTCTAATCACCATACCCGGATAGGTCATTCATAAGTTGTATAACATTAGCATTTTCATTCTCCCGTCGCTTATAAGGACAGACCAAATAATGTGTTCTAGCAAAGGTAACTAAATATATCGGGAAGCTTCCTGGTAATGATTCACCTAGCCCCCAGTGAAACTTGTCTACCTTGACCGACCATATGGATGGTCCGCTCCTGACCCGACCTTGTCCGATTTGAGGCGACAAATCATTGTTTGCAGCCGGCTGGGCCATAGCACGACGGCTCTGCAGCCTGCATGTGGTGTTACTGTTCTCAGCCAGGCATGGGATTATGTGGATGAGCGCTAATATTTTCGCCATTAGGCTGGTAGGACGAATGAGCGACTGTCGCTGACCCGTTCCTCCCCTCCTCTCCCCTTCCTGTCAGTTGTCACAACCAATCAGCGTCGTCGCACGCCGGCCAATTACGGAAATGTATCTGTTCCAGGCTCCAGGGCACGGGAAATGGATCAGACCAGGCAGACATCCTATCGGCAATGTCGGAACAATGACATCGTCCGGTGGATATTGTTCCCTCCAGCACCGGAATGTGATTTGCTTTCGCATGAGTAAGGAGACAATGGTTTTCAGTAGCTGAAGACGGTTGGATGCGAGCCTTGAAAGGATAGACGTAACCTAAGGAATTGTTGTCCTACATTATTGCCGAAGATATTGAGGGAAGTAGACATAATGCCTAAGGAATATTATTTCATTGTCGTCAACCCTAAAAAGCATAGAATGTGACCAAGAAGCGCACAAAGCAGCGTGTATGCATTGCTGACAAAGTAAGAGCCGGCGCTATGCGAGGCACACAAATGGGATACCAAATGTCACCGTGTTACCAACGCGTCACAGGTTCTGAACAATTATCGAGCGTTTGCTGTGCTAAGTGGCGTTTGTATGGGCCGCTGCTCTCAGGGCCACTGATAGCCCACAGTCCGGGGCTATCGCCATGCCCCGGCCTTGTGTCGATCGGGGAGCCGAGCATTCCACGCCTGTGTGACGGTTCAATACAGTCGGGTGACCGCGACTGCGCCCGTCTTGGTCCTGTCTTATCTGACTATCCCACGAACCGGTCTCGCGGGACGCAGATGTCATAAATTGGCCGGTATCGCGGCCTGCGAGCTGAGGACCGCCGACAGAGCGACTCTCAGCCACGCAACCTGACCCGGCCTCCGCCGCGCCGGTCGACCCAGCCGACCGGCTCCGGCATACTGAGCGTTCATCGCACGGCTAGGCTAGTTCGCGAGACGGGCCCCAAGGGCCACTGCACAGCGGCCGTGTTCTACACTGATGTCGACGCCGATACAACCGTAAGCAGAACGGCCAGAGGTGAACACCGCCGCCTCAGCACGTGTTGAACACATGGAGGAACAGATCCCGCAGAATGGAATCAGAAGCTCGTGCGACATTGACACTGGAACTGCCGACATCGAAACACTCTGACATCACACCGAGGGTCCAGGAATCCGTTAGTCTGAGGCTGTAGTCCTGGCCCCTCTCCAGAACTGGCCAATAGAATCACATGGTATGCAATCCGTGGGAATATATGGACTGCGTCTGACGGCTCTCGCTGATTGGTGTAGACTCACGCAGCCAAGACCGACAGACACCAGTCATCTGACGCAGCCGCTCATCATTAAGCGTAAACAACCTATCACCAATCGTGGAACTGTTGCCATGGTGACAGCAGCTGATCCGCCCAGGATGACAGGTGCAAACATCACTGTGAGGTAAAACGTGCACAATACGTCGTGGATTACGGAGAGTTACAACCATGATCAACACATAATTTTTTTTTTGTCATGACATAACACTAGAAAACAGCATTTCGGTGCTGCAGCCTGACAAGCAATGTCTTCTGAAAATCATAGTCCAGTCCATTCCATGGGATCATGGAGATAATATACCACAGGCGAGACGAAGAAACACTTTGGCATTTAGTTTTCAGAAATTAACTTATTCTATGATGTTGAAAAATTGGTTAGGTTTAATAGTACAAAAATATACAATATGATTGCGTCCCATGAGCTTACAAACTAAACTACTCGAGGAGTCCGAGGAGACCTATGGGTGACTGGACGGGCAGGCAATTATTTGGTTGCAATCCGGGCCTCCTCCAACATGTTAACTGGGGGTGCCGCAGCCCCCCCCCCCCATTGATGCCGCTGCCCCCCCCAGTGGAGCTGAAATCGCGTCACTGGGGGGACGTATTTAAAGGGACCCTCCCACCTTAACATTAGATTTGAGTTGAGATAGCCAAAATGGGGTCCCTGGCTCACAATTACCGGTTTCGGCACTCACAACATCGAGAAATGCCTTAAATCGGAAATATTGAATTTCAAAATTGCAGCATTTTGATTCAGAGGGGCTAATGTATAGGAATACCCTCTGAATGTGTGACATCATCGCAGATATCTAACGATTTTTAAATGTTTGACTAAAACGTTTTGTAGCACGCGGTGGTATATGCTGCTTTGCGCGCAACAAATGCCGCACTTTCAAATAAAGTCGCTAGGAACAGCGGAGATCCCAAAAAGTAAACAAAAGTAAAAGTCTAATATCTTGAAAACCGGTGAATATTTTTCGATGAAATTTGGTAGATAATCTTTTTTGCTCTTTCTGAACTGAGCGACATCACTTTCATGCCAATTCATTAAAGGGACCCTCCCACCTTCAAAAAAGTTAATGAATTGGCATGAAAGTGATGTCGCTCGGTTCAGAAAGAGCGAAAACGAATATCTACCAAATTTCACCGAAAAATAATCACCGGTTTTCAAGATATTAGACTTTTACTTTTGTTTACTTTTTTGGGATCTCCGCTGTTTCTAGCGACTTTATTTTAGAAGTGCGGCGTTTGCGGCAGATGTTGCGCGCAAATAGCATATACCACCGCGTGCTACAAAACGTTTTAGTCAAACATTTAAAAATCGTTAGATATCTGCGCTGACGTCACACATTCAGAGGGGTATTCCTAAGTATTAGCCCCTCTGAATCAAAATGCTGCAATTTTGAAATTCAATATTTCCGATTTAAGGCATTTCTCGATGTTGTGAGTGCCGAAACCGGTAATTGTGAGCCAGGGACCCCATTTTGGCTATCTCAACTCAAATCTGATGTTAAGGTGGGAGGGTCCCTTTAACTTTTTTGAAGGTGGGAGGGTCCCTTTAAACCAATCATGTAGAAAATGAGAAAATTTCACTAAAAGCTTACCAAACAAACAATCCAGACTATCTCAACGATCACCACGTTACTAATTTTAGTTTTATTATACCGTTGTTTCTTATCTACAAAGAACATTTCAGATTCGTCAAGATGAGCCGCGGAATGAGGTCATGATTGCAGATTATATAATCGAACAGGCGGGTCGCCCTCTCAATCAGTCGGTTTAACACCGAGAAGTATTATTTTATTCGGGAGACAGATTCCGTCTTGAAGTGGAAATCTTGACACACGGTCAAATAAGAATGTGGCGGAGCTTTATATCACGAGAAAAGTTTTTTTTCGATGTCTGGGTTGGGACTCGGAACGATAAGCCCTCACACTCATATTGAGGGGTTAGATAGACCCACCCCTAGGTCCTAGCGTGGCAAAACTTTTAGCATTCTCGTAATTATCAATGGGCTAGGTACACATTTCCTAAAAATTTCATGACCCTGGTCCCCGACCCTCATCACTATTGACCTGTGGCCTGTTTAGTGTTTCCAAGTCATTTTCAGGAAGGTAGCTTTTTAGGATGGTGAGCTGTTTTTAAGGCAAGCCAGCAGATCATTGTGCAAACATGCCATCAGGCTCTGTAAACTGGGGCAGACTCATCAGGAGATGGCTAGCATCCGTCTGTGCATACCTATCATTTTTGACGCGCATGACGCTGCAGTGCCACACTGGGTGATGAGCACTGAACTTTGACAGCGTTCTGGTTATCTTGGCCCACAGTTCCGCTTGATCAGTGAGCATTGATGTGTTGTGCTGATGCATGAGTAGACGGGTTTTATCAATATTTATAACCGGGATGACTGCAGTCATGACTGCAGTCATAGGCATGCCTACCACTACGCCAACAGTTGCACCGTGCAACAGCACAGGATGCAAGCCCAGTGTTTCGCAACTGTTAATTAATATTTGATAAAAGACGGTCAGAAACTTTATGCAACAGTAATTACAATACATAGAGGTCCAAATATCCTGAGGTAGATATTCATGAGTCCGTGCCTGCGGCGGCATGCTTGGACTCAGAACATGGGACAGCGCGACTGATCTATCAAATCAACATAGGCCACTCACCTCGACTCGATCAAACTGGGCCACGTGATGACGCAGAACGCACCCCCGTTACTGAGACGGTAGCGGCACTGTCACGTGGCCGTCTGTGTGTAGCGTAGGACCCGGTGCACGGACGTCACGTGGTGTCGGCTCTGGAGGGCGGTACTGACGCGCCCTTCCCTCAGCACGGTCCGAGCGACACTGAAATCGACTGGACGGCGGACCGACCGGTCTCTGCGGGCAGGGCCTGTCGAACGAGCGACCAACGGACAAACTGCCTGAGGTGCGGCGTCCTGGAAGATAGGGGATCCTCGGGGATAGGTAGCATTTGTTAATTTATTTATAGGGGATATAAATATATGAGTGGTAGGGGATTCCCGGGGATAGGTACTTTATCAATGTTTATTCCTTTGACGCAAACATGGGATTGCTAGTTCAGTAACATGCACAGAATAAAAATTGCTTTAGTGGAAAATTGCATTGCAATAGACGGTCAACGATCTCCGGACATGTGCAATGCACATGGATCTGGAAAACGTGTCTGGGATTTGATCCCCACAGATCTAGATATCAGATTCAATTGGGCCGATATCAGGTTCAATTGTGTCATATTTAACTGTTACCTGGTATTTGAGAGTGCTTCCTATGACTTTCGTCAAAAAGGGGCGCATTCTAAATTTCTGTTTATGTTCCTTGGAAAGGTCACCAAATTGACCTCCACAGACATAGGTCACCGATATCAAACTTCCGACACATGTAGCACCAATATCAGAGCTGTCACCTGATATTGGATATGTACTGTATGCAATACATGTAGGTATGTGTAAAACGTACATATGCATACATACCTATGTACCTACGCTGCATGCATACCTACTGTTTCAATTGTCAATGGCTTAAAGTTTTAAAACGATCGCTCAGTCGGGGTGAGGCTATTCGTATTCATGTATTTAGAAAACATCCGAAAATGGTTTCTCGTACTGTCGTACTCCTGCGCTAGTGCGGCGTCGTTTAGCACGAACCACTATGCAACAAAAAATGAAACATTTTCTGTTCCTGGAAAGCGACCGAATTTTTCTTATTCATTGGGTCCTATTATAACCGAAATGGGCATTAGTTTTGATCTGAAAATGCTTTTCCGGTTTTCAGAGACGATTTTCGATTTTTGGCCCCGAAATTCGGTTTTTGGCCCACCGTGTCCGATGTAATTGAGTAATCGACTCGCGGTAACTTTCATCGCCTTTCCTATGCCACAAGCTTTCGAATAATATCTGGTTTTGCATATTTGCGTGCAAAAATAACGTCATAAATCTATGTTAAAGTAAGAAAATGTTGAAATTTTGTAAAAATTTGACTTTTTTTCGATTTCATTTCAAAATAGAGGAAAAACTAAAGGCCCTATCCACATTCTGAGCCCAGTTCCTTGAAGAGCATTCAATTTCCGTTCGGAAGGTACCTTTTTAGTGCATTTTATCGGATTCCTGTGGCGTCCAGATTGAGTTAACCTAAACACATGTCCTAAGTCATATCACATAGCATTAACCTGATAACGTATGTTAACGCCATAGGATCAACGAGGGGTCAACTGAGGTCATGTTGTTGACCCCTTGTGACCTCGGGTCACACGCAGGAACTTACTTTTGAGCAGTCCTGTCGCTCAGAATTTTGATCTGTACCTCCATTTGTTAGAATGATTCTTCATGCACTGAACACATATTGTCATGGAAATGGCTGCGGGCCCGTTTTTCAAGTGACTCAATCTGGACGCCACAGTAAACCGATAAAATGCACTAAAATAGTACCTTCCGAACGGAAATTGAATGCTCTTCAAGGAACTGGGCTCAGAATTTGGATAGGGTCTTTATTTTTTCTCTATTTTGAAATGAAATCGAAAAAAATGTCAAATTTTTACAAAAATTTCAATATTTTCTTACTTTAACATAGATTTATGACGTTATTTTTACACGCAAATATGCAAAACCGGATATCATTCGAAAGCTTGTGGCATAGGAAGGGCGATGAAAGTTACCGCGAGTCGATTACTCAATTACACCGGACACAGTGGGCCAAAAACCGAATTTCGGGGCCAAAAATCGCAAATCGTCTCTCAAAACCGGAAAAGCATTTTCAGATCAAAACAAATGCCCATTTCGGTTATAATGGGACCCAATGAGTCCAAAAAATCGGTCGTTACTCAGGAACAAAATGCCTGTTGCATAAGTGTTATCGGGCTCTGTCAGATAGGTATTCGCTTATTTTTTTGTTTTGTTTTGTTTTGTTGGGTTAGGTTTTTTCGGTCTGATGAGACCATTGCAGAGCCGGAAGGATGATAAAAATTAGGGAGAGAGATTGGTCTGGGCGGGCACCCTGGTACTCCGCCGGGGCTGAACCCATTACCTATAGGCCACCCAGTCCTGCTAGCGGTCACCGCACCCGCGGCCATGGACCTGCTCCTGTGGTGTGGAGCTACCCATGTGAGAGTAACGTGACCGTCCAGCCCGGAACAGTGGTGTGGAGGAAACACCTCGAATATAAGTGTGGAGGAGAAGGATTTCACTATCCTGAGGATGGAAACGACGGAACGGAGAAGCTAGGTTTGAGCCAACTACATGATGACCTTTGGTCATGGTGACGATTTGTTATGCACATCGATTTGTTTTTATCTGAGCAAAAGAAATGAAAATAACCGAGTCATTTCGATAGACTTCCTTGCGACCTATCGAGTGCCTGCCTCTCGGTTGATTCTCGCTCAGAAGGCTGCCAATTTTTTCTTAGGATGTGTCAGACTCCGCTCTCTCGTCTCTCGTTATGATTATGGGGTCACCCTTACAGAGGGCGCTGCTTGTAGATACTGGGCACCTCCTCTACCGTGTGTAAGCAATCGGTCGCTAAAATCACCAAGCAATATCACAAAACAGGCTCCAATGCTAAGCCGCTTGAGAATGATAGTTGGTTTCCTTGGACGAACTGCACCTTCATCATTGGCACCGATTGGTCAGTCGCAAGGGCAGCACGCTGCCCGTCAGCGCGCTCACGCCAGACTCCAGTGGGCAGTGGCTACGCTTGTCCCCCTTAGTAGATGGCAGCACCTGTAACTGACCGATTCACCGTGGCTAGACCCTCAGCTGCCGGCAGATGGCAGCACCAGATAAACCGAGCTCAGGCTTCCCGCCTCCGGCGCCGCTATGCATTTTTTAGCAAGTCTGGCTGACCGAACGCTGGACGACCGGTAGATGGCAGCCGCTGATATAGTTTTAGGCATATATATGTCAGAATATCTATGGTTTTAGGCCTGTGAACACCACACGATGGCTGCATGGCCACCAAGTCCGCCAGGTAGCGGCACCTGTAGCTCTACCTTGCTAGTCACCCTGTAGGTGGCAGCACAAGTAGAGGTACCGACCAGCCGCCGACTGACAGGCGGCGCTCGGTGAGGCCTGTGGGTGTTGATCCCTGATCAGCCGTCCTCCGGCGCCCTCACGGGTGACCTCCGTGTTCTGATGCGGCCGCACGGTGAGCTCAGTCCGGAATATTCCGGCGACACATTTAGCCCGGAGATGGAGCGGCACGGGTCCACCGGCACCACCAGTCGATGTTCGTACATACCTACCCAATGTCGCTCCAACTATTCACAGGATATTTGCAGTCACCACTCACCATAGTTTCGTCATAGGTTGGTTATTGTTCGGATATATTTCGGTTAAAGCTCAGTTCGGTCATAGTTCCGTCGTTCGGTCTTAGTTCGGTCATAGTTCGGTCAAAGTTCAGTTATAGTTCGGTTAAAGCTCAATTCGGAAATCGGCTGTAGCTCGACTCGGTTATAGCGTGACGATTCGGACTGCAGTCACCTCATGTCAAGTTGGTAGGTGCTAGTTGCGAACTGGTGCCTACCTGGTGCAAGTGCCTGGTGCAGTCACCACCCACCATAAGTGTCTGGTTTCAAGATTGGGAACGTCACGTCAGCATGACCTCCAAAGCCCAATGAGGCTTTTCGTGACTGATGCTGTACGGTAACGGTAACATGTCCAGTTCGCCATACAATAACTAGAATCGTCCGTTTATGGCATGCTGCTTGTCTGGCTTGATAACAGTTGATCATTGTATGCATACAATGGTTAAGTGAATGGAACTAACATTAGTCTATTGTTTGTGGCTATCTGTGACTCACGTCTCACATTTTCCCTTCGTACTAATACCTAGGTACATAAATACATGGGAAGACGCCTTACCTACAGTGGTCAAATCGCACATATGTATTTTACCATAATCACCATCTTGACAGTCCGAATGGCGTATACGGCTGTCACATTCACTGTTCAATTGTCACGTGACCACTGACCAGTCCTCGTCTAGCGGTAGTCAGGACTGTTCCCAATCCCCGTATGGCTCGGTACGGTTCGGCCCTAGTCCGATCAACGTCTCTTGGCTCAGCACGGTCAACTGTTCGGCCACTGGACGGCGGCCATAGTATGACTGCTGTCCGTTTGCTGTCACAGTCTGATCACCGTTCGGTTGTAGCTCGGCTATTGTACGGTCATAGCTCAGTCGCGGTTCGGTTGTCCGTTTCGGTTCGGTCATAATTTGACGACAGTTCGGTAACGGCTTGGTCATGGTTCGTCTATAGTTGGGTCATATTTCGGTCATAGTTCGGCCATAGTTACTTAGGTTATAGCTTGGTCATAGGTTAATTGTAGCTCGGTCATAGTTCGGTTAATGCTCAGTTCCGTTAAAGCTGTGTCATGTTCAGTTAAAGTAATTTATAGTTCGCGGGTCGGGTCATGGTCCAGTAAATCTCAGTTCGGTCATAGTGCGGTTATAGTTGGTTCGGTCATAGTTCGGTCGTTCGGTCTTAGTTTGGTCTTAGTTCGATCAAAGTTCAGTTATAGTTCGGTTAAAGCTCAATTCGGTAATCGGCTGTAGCTCGACTCAGTTATAGCTCGCCGCTCGGTTCATTTACAGCTCGGTTCATTTACAGCTCGGTTCGGTTATAGCTCGGTTCGATTGCAGTTCGATCATTATAGTTCGGATAGGTATGGCTCGGTCATCGTTTGCTTATTGCTCTGTCATCGCTCGGTTATTGCTCGGTCATAGCTCTGTTTTAGGTCGGTTGTTTGTTTATATCTCGGTCATAATTTGGTTATAGGCTCGCCGCTCGGTCAGGGTTAAGTTTTAGTATGGTCATAGTTAACTGGGTTATAACTCGGTCATAGCTTATATAGCTCGGTCGTAGTTCGTTTTCGGTCACAATTTGGTCGATTCGATCAAAGTTCGGTTCCTGTCACCGTTAGTTACCGTTCCGTCACGATTCGGACGACGGACGTTATTCATTTTTTTTTGCATTTGCGGCCATAGTTTGTAGTTCGGTCACCACTCGCCCGTTCGGTCATCGTCACCTCTTGGTCACCTCTCCAAGAGGTGACGATGCTCTTTGTGAGCCCGCCGTCCGATTTCGTCGCTCCACGACCGCTGACACAGCCTGCTGAACACTTCCATAGACAGCGTTCCTGCACGATCTGCGGCTAAACGTATGCGCATACGGCCGACCGCCAAGGCCAGCCCGGCCCCGGGCCCGCTGAGCCGTGGGGGAACGGACCTCCGTGACCAGGGGCCGTATTCACGTCGATCATTTTCGTAAGAATTTTCTTAAGTTTGACCTACTTCTTAAGTATTTTTTTTTTTAATCACATGAACTCCGTCAATAAAAACTTACGAAGTGTCGACGTGAATACCAAATTATATTTACGAAAGAAAATCGACTTACGAAGTCGGGCCCCAGGCGGGTTTGCAGGCGAGGAGGAGACAGGAAAGGAAGGGTAGGAAAGACTAAAGAGGGAAGAGTAGAGGACAAAACTCGTCGGGAGAGAGCAGGGCCCTGTTTCAAAGGTGAATGATAGCATCACGCTGCTATTACACGTGTCAAATTGGGTTTCCATGGAGACATCAACAAGCCTATTGGCCTCCAACACTACCAGAAGTGTGACGTCAGCTCGCGAAATGGAATAGCAGCGTGCTGCTATCACCGGTGAAACAGGGCCCGGGGACCGGTTGGAGAAAGTAAGAAGATGTGCGGGACACTCATGGGTGACAGTCGGCGGTGGGACCGAGATAGCGGTTTGGCCGAGCCGCGGCGCTAAAGTGGAGAGTCTCGATGCACCGCGGTAGGTCGGCAGCGGTCGGCCGATAGCGCACAGTGCCTCCGCGTCGGGAGCTATATGTACCCTCACACGGAGGCGGGCGCTGTGTGACCGTGCTCGTGCCGAGCCGCGCGGCGGACCGGGCGCGCGGTGACGGTGACCTTGAGAGGTCGCTCGGGACCGGGGCGCCTCCACGCGCGATCCCTTCATTCCCGCTCTTTCTGCCGGTCGGCGGCGGTAGTCCTTCGCCGCCGTCAGGTAGGCGGACAGACAGTCCGTGCCGGTTCCGCGCCACCGCCAGTTCGGCTGGGCCGCCGTGTGCCGAACGAGTGGACCGGCAGGGTTCGCGACCGGCCATCCGGCGGCTGTGACCAGTGCTACCCTGTCACCGTGGTGTGAACAAGTGCGGGTGTGAGGAGTGGGCTGTGCCGGGCGGGGACTCAGCGTAGCAGCCATTACGGCGGCCTGGGAGACGGCGCCCGTCCGGAATGGGGAGCAGTGCGGCGGACCGGGAGGCAGATGGAGCGCTGCAGACGGACCCCGCACCTCCCACGGATGGAGGCCGGGATAGCACGGCGACAGGTCAGTACCAACTACCAGCTGACAGGTAGCACGGCCGCAGGTCAGTACCAACTGGCAGATAGCTCGGTGACAGATCAAGATCAGTGAAAACTGGCACATAGCTCAGTGACAACTGACAGGTTAGTGCCAAATGACAGTTCGTTAACCAGTCACCTGTGACCAGTGTCGCCTGTCCATGTCGGGTGTTTGGTCTTTGGCCAAAGGCCGTATATTATATAGGTATAGGTATAGTTTTGGGCTTTGGCCAGTTGTCGTAGGTTACCGTTTAACGTAAAGATCTAAACCTTAATTAAGAAACCCAAATGCAACTCATTTATGTAGTGTAAAATGAGAAACTTCTTTTACTGTCCTCTTTTTCATCGGTGACAGATTAGTTTCCAGTGGCAGGGAGCTGATTGTTTGAAGACAAGAAGCCAAACATCCTACGCAAAAAAGCAATCTATGCCGTAGTAATTGGTCTTGATTTCCCGATTTAGTGATAACTCACAATTTGAAACAAAATTTCTACTTTTGGTTAAAATAAACAGCGTGATCTGATACGGTACGCTTTATAAATGACGTCATTAGACGCGTTGGGTTTGTTGCAAGCTTATATCTCCGTCCGTGATGTTGCTAAAGATGCTAATGGTGCTTAACAATTTACAAAATGATCCCCTCTAAATATTTAAGCTAGAGCCTCGTCAAATATGCTATGTAAACCGGGTTATTGATTTGGTGGGAAGTATCATGATGTCTAAATGGCGATACCATTTTGATCAAAGTGATACTCACTTTGATTGGCACTTCGTGTCGACATCACAAAACCAAAATGAGCTGTTGGTTCTATTTTGGTTCATACTTTGTCTGATAGTTGTCTGCTGCGCGCGCATTGCCGGAAACGTCTCGTTTAGAACGGCGTGGTGGCGGGCCGCAGGGTATCTTGGGCCGCAGCAATATACCCTGGCAGCGTGTTCCTTTGCGTTCCTTTGCAGTAAATCAAAATGCTGGTATCCTTGGCTGGGATAGGGTCCACGTTATTGGTATTTAAAAGTGACGTGATTATGGTACTCATTGAATGGTTTCATTTTCTCTAGGTTTGTGTCCAAGATCAAGATGGTGGTGGAAAGGGCCGGAAATTGGTCGTTTTGCATCATTTTGCTGGCCATGTGGGACTGATCAGACTGATTTAAAAGTTAACCCCTTTTTGGCTATGCATTGTCAGATTCAGACATTGCGTTCATTTCAAATGATAACATTTATTTTATCATTGCTCCCAGCTCCATGGTACTGAGTACCCTACAAACAGTGGCATGACCACTTGCTATTTTTGCTCTTCCGAGCAGATGTGTTATATTATTTTCTTTGTTCATTGTAGTGGTCAGTTTTTCAGGAGAAAGATTGCTGGCGATCAGATCGAAAAATGGAAATGCACTCAGTATTGGTGAAATGATAACAGAACCTGTAACCCCAAGTAGTAATTAACCCTGCGTTCGCAGTCTCTCGGACGACAAAAATTATATGCTGTCCAGTGTCCGGCCAATCCCGTTTGAGGTCTGTGGGGGCTGGGCAGCGGCTATCAAATGCCATCGGCCGGGCGACCTAGAATCTGTCGTCCAGTATACTTCATACGTGGGGTAATTGTCTACGTGACTGATATCCTTGATTCAAGGGTCAAAGATCTGAAACAAAAAATAATTTTAACAAAGAGTAGCTGATAAAAGTACCCTGCATTGAAATGTGTAGTTCCAATCATACATTACAGAATGCTTTGACAGTGTTTCATACAAATTGATGAAAAACTAATAACTGAATTTAAAAAGCAAGATACCTACCAAAACCATATCATGTTTCAACAGAATATTTCGATTCCCAGGCAATGCTTGTGGTATTGCAGCCAGGGGTGTCGTTTTCCGAAAATGATTGGTAGGGCCCAAAGGCGGCGGCCGGCCATATGTGACGGGGCTTAAAAGGTAGGGTACCCCCAAATCTGCCTTTCTCATCGGATTTCGGCCACTTATTTTTTCGCCCTGGTCATTGACAAGACAAACCAAAATCTAAAAAAAAAACATTTTGGAAGTCTAGGTCCTCACCGAGCTCCATGCACAAAACGTGCAGTTAAATAGGCAGTTATAATAGTGTCGGAGGAATGCACGCCATTCTGAAAGAGGCCCACGGCACGGCTGTGCTGCAAGGGGCCAGGAACGGTTTTGATGGCCCAAGCCGAATGAAAAAGACTGCTGCGGGGCCATGAACGGCTTTGAAGGCCCGCGCCAATTGCAATTTGCAGGGTTCGACAACTAACGAAGTCTCGAAACACCACGATAGTTAGAAAGGTCTGCTTGCCAAAATTTAAAAGGATGACAGTACGAGCCGGCATTCAGAAAGTTACCTGCCCGACCATGAAGAAGTAGAGAGCTACATCATCGACTTATTAGACCAAAAAGTTCATTTATTCAAATAACCACCGCTAAGACAAACACATTTCGCGCAGCGCTTCGGGAGAGCCCTCAAAGTCTCCATAATCAAGTGGGTTTCGGACCCATCCCACGTCCAAGACGGCTGCTTTAGTCTCCCTGCAGTCAGCGAAGTTGCCACTGCTAATTTCCTTATGTTGGGGAAGAGGTGGCAACCAGAGGGTGCAGGGTTCGGAAAAAAGTGGATGCGACAACAACTCGAAGCCACATTTCATCGCTTCACTGATCGTCACCCCGCGCATGTACGCAAGTGCGTGGACGTGGATCAGGTGCACACTTAATCAGCTTCCCTATAGCCTCTCCTCGATGTCTATCGAATGGACGCACATCATCAATTGTGCGCCCCTGTTTTAGAAAGTTGACAAGCAGAGCCCCGTCGGCATTCCAAAATGCAACCACTCTCACCTTGCCGACTAACTTCAACTCGTAACACTCATTTGGTGGCCGTTACTCGGTGTGCTTCCACTTGCGCAACTCGGCACGGTGTCCCTTAGTGACACCCACGTGACACCCACAATTCCTTTACGGTGACAAGTCAATGACATCTTCTAGATATTCGAAAATGTTTATATTACTTGTATACCGCTGACGAAGTGACAATAATACAGTCACGAAACTGTCCGGAAAAGCCGAGTACTTTAATTCTAGATATTCGATAAAGGGGCCAAAAACACCGCGCTAAGCCTCCTTTCGAGCTTGCCTTTTCTCTGCAGAGTCAGCAAACGGGGGATACATCTTGCAGATATCTTAAACATAACATGATAGATTCCAGTGGCGTAGCCAAGTGAGGGGGGCGGGCACAGAGGGCACGTGCCCCTCCCATCGGGTCCAGGGGGCCCTTCGGGTCCCTGCGGCGCCAATGGCGGGCCTTGACTATGGAACACGCCTAAAAAAGTTGGAACTATATTCAGTGTATGGTAGGCTTCTGCGGGCTGACCTGATCCTGTATTGGAAAATATTTAATGCTCAGTCCTGCATCCACCCCAATGACTTATTTCACACACCTCCATGCTCTAGAACCAGGGGCCATCGTCATAAGATACATATTCCCTCCACTGTCACTGATACCCGGAAGCGATTTTTCTCTGTCCGATGTATTCCGCTATGGAACTCTTTACCGCCGGATGCCGTTTGCGCACCCAATCTCAGAGCGTTCAAGCGTGCAATAAACACTCATTTGCAAAATGAACTCTATAAGTTCATAGAATAGGTATGCACTGTATTATCCGTGTATTATCTCACAGCGCTCAAACGTGCAGTAGACTTTCACAGAATGAACTCTATGAGCATGGAAATAGGTGTACACTGTATTATCTTATATATACTTATCGGAAATTCTTATCGATTCTAGCAAAACTTGTTAGCACTGTGTAACCTGTTAGGCGCATGATTCCAGTCAAGTCTTGCATGACATTACCATATGACTGGCTTAATTTTTGGCTGGCGCGTCTTATATGTGTAGGGTTCTGTCTATCCTCTAGCCTATCCTTCCCTGCCTACTTACAGACTTGATGGAACCCAATGAGGTAAGAGTATGAGGTAAGAATCGGCCGCTGAGGGTCCACGCTGGCCATATTTCGTCTCAAAGGGACCCCACAGGGCTCGTCAGAGCTCAGCAGCTCTAAGCGGTCCCACGCATATCTGTGATGGCCATAAACCAGTGTATCTGAGGACCCCGAAACGGCGCTTAAGAGGGCCCTCACCGGCGACTGTGCAGGTCCCACACCGGCGCCTCTGAAAGCCCCACACATGTGCATCTGACGGACACCCACCGGTGACTTTTGCGTGGCCCACACCGGCTGTTCTGAGGATCCCACCAGAGTCTGAGAGTACCCCGTGCCGTTCTCTAAGGACCCCACTGAACTTCTGAAGGTGCTGCCGGCCTCTGAAGACCCTTTGCCGGTCTGAGGAGTGAGGACCCATTGCCGTTCCCTGAGAACCCCCTGCCGGCTTGCGAAGGGTTCGCGACAGCAGCTCCTACGGCCCAGCAGGCCACACACATCTGTGACGACTGTACAAACATGCTTATTTGCATATCTGTTTATTTTGATTTTTTTGCCAACTGATAAGTGACAAAAGATTGGTAGGGCTCAGCGAACATTGGTAGGGCCCAAATAAACATTGGTAGGGCTCGGGCCCTACCAGGCCTATACAAAACGACGCCCCTGATTGCAGCTGCCTTGAAACAGCGTAAGAGTTCCGGTTAGCACTTGCTCCAGTTCACTGGCACTTAACCCCCAAACCAACCAACCTTCAACAGATGATGATCATTTTAGATTTCAAAGGTGTTAACAATGTATTATCTTGTCATTTCTGCTATTTCTTGATGATAATGACTTTGATGCTAAGGTTGAAAATTTGAAATGAAAACAAGAAACTATCAGTAGGTAGTTAGTCAAAAAATGCACATCGGGCCTTGAGTCAGTTAAGATATATGTCAGTGTAATGTGTATCTTGCTTCATAACCATTAACCACCATCTGAATGTCAAATAGGTGCCTAGCTTCTCAATGCTATGAAGCTAATCACTGCACTTCTAAATATTTTTTAAAGCCATTTTTACTTGATGAATCTGTCACATAGATCACAAAATGACTGCAGCAAAATGACCATATTAAGATGTGCCATGACATGCTTGAATGTAAACTTTTGCCTTTAAGCCAATATTCTAATGTCTTTAATGTTAAATGATTTCCTTGCAGCTCTCCACATTGACTCTCAAGAAATTTCAAGAGATGAACAATCATTAAGTCCAAGTGTTTGGTGTTGATTGCTGAATATCTACTTGAAGTGCCTGCAAAACATGATGGCCAAAGAATCGCTCCCATGCCTCATTTGGTAGCTGAATAACTCAGTATTTACCTGCAAGAGCCAGCAGCCATGGGGGAAGAGGGGTACTCCTGACACCTCCTAACTGGGTGCAATCTCTGCTGTGTTTTGCTTGTTCATCATCAAGGTGCCCTTTTGTAAATCAATTGTGATACAAATCAGTGCAAGCAGTATTTTTCTGTACTTCAAAAATTGGCATTTATCAGTTGAGTGGTCCATTTTTATGGTCTCGAAAATGATATCAAGTGATACTGTGACATCTGGGTTCAGCAATATCGGACCAGGTGGCGAGGACCAGACTGCATCAGTGCAGCTTCTAGGTATGACAGCTGGTTATGTGACAGTTAGTTCCCACCTTTATGCTTTTTTCTTTTGATCAAGTTTTCCTAGTAAAAATGAGCTTAGCAAACTTTTGCTATTTCAAGGTAAAAATATGCTAGCTGTAACCACTACTCACTAGCTGGATGGTTGGTAACCAGTTCTGTGATGCTCCTATCCCAGCACTGACTCATGACAAAGGAGAACTTCTTTCCTCCTCAGATCTCTGCTTGTGGTGCACACATTGGCTTTTCAGAGGAAAGGATATGAGAATTGTTCATTAGGTATATATTTTAACTTTTTCACGCAAACGATAGGGAAGGAAAGACAGATAAAACGTTTGAATTACTGACATCGTTTCTCTCGTTCCAGGAGGAGGTTTCAAGAGACCTTCCTTGGGAACAAAACAGAAAACTACCGATGGAGACGAATCTGCGGTGAGTTGTTCGGGTGATGCTGCTGACAGCGGAGTGGTTGAGGTGTATGTTTGACCGCTCTGTTGACATTGACTGACCCTTTGAATCCCTCTCGCCCGGTGTCGGTGACGGTGCCGGTCGTCGCCACGTTATCCGTCTGTCTCAGGCTGGCTGGATTGGTGACGATGTCGTTCTGTCTCGGGTGGTGCTGGATTTGTGACCCCCAGCCCCCAGGTGGTGTGTAAATGTTCGCTCTCTCGCTGTGTCCCCCCTCCCCCTCTGTCACAGTGTATACCTGTGTTTGCGACCGCTCTCCCTCCCCCACCGCAGGTGGTGCTCGGTTTCCGGCGCAGCGCGCCGCTCACGGCGCTACTCTGGCTGGCCGTGCTGCTCACCGCCGGCCTGCTGCGACTGCTGCTGCACTGGCGGCCCGACTGGATGCTGCGCTGCACACACCGGCGCTGCCACCTGCGACACGCCACCAGCGTCCTCGTCATCGTGAGTAGAGAGACGCGGCGGACAGTGGGGGCGTGACCTCATCTCCATGCACGCTATATTGTGAGTGTCTGGGTGGGGAACCTACCTTCCTCACATGCATAGTGCACGTGCACGTGCCGATTCAACGAACAGATTCGGCGTAGCTCGATCCGACCGAGCAGCTCCCAACCAATGTGCGACCAAGTTCATGCCATCCAAGAATAGAAACACGGCCTGACATTTCTCGAGAAGTGGCACCGATGTCGCCGTGCATGACCTTGGTTTCGGTGCGCTCAGAGACAGTGGTACCGATTTGAAATGGTAATAGAATGTCGAGCTTCGATTAAGTATTCCGGTTAGTTACGAAACATCAAGCATTACACTAGTGCCACCTTTTTGTTTGGTGGGATAGATCTTAGGCTACATCCGTTATATCTATCTTCTCATATTGGATTCACTAGGCGGATATATTCACCGGCAGAGTGGCGTGCTTTTACGGAAGTTTGAGGGATATGTCACATTGCATTTATTCACCGCAGTAGGTAGGTCCGCAGCGCACATCAGCAAAAATTTGACGGATTTTGTATTTTACATCGACAACAAATCCATCTATAAGACCGTCACATTTCCTTTGCGCATTTATCTGGGGTAATTGAGCGAGCAGTGGCCTCAGGAAATCTCTGAGGACATGCGATCTGTCATTGAAGACAGCGAGCACCGGATGTCTCAGTGCTACCGTTCGCCGTTATACAACTGAGACGGCAGAGTCCAACGATCAAAGCGAACGACTCGAGTGGAGGGTTTGCCGACGCCTGCACGTGCGATAGACGATGGGCCGGGTACCGTGCACTATGCAGACTGCAGCACCGGTAGCCGCTCTCTCAGAAGGTCTGAGTGGCGCCCACCTGTCAGAGACGGCGCTGGTGGCGGCCGAGACGCGCCGCCGCCTTCAAGGGCATTTAGGGACGGCTGGCGGTGTATCGATATGGTAGCGTAGCGACCACGATGCCCTTGGTGATTGCCCGGTGTGGAGCCGTAACGTCGGGCATCTCATTGAGTTTTCGTCGAGCCGCCTCTGATATGAAAGCCTACGAGCATGGGCCGTGGCTGGTCTGCCAGCTGGGCCGCCTCTCCGCGGTATGTGCCGGCGGCTCAGACCGTCACCCTGCCGTCGGTGTGAGTGTCACGCTGCTCTGTTCCGAGGGACTGACTGTTTACTTTAGTCCTTCTACCGCCAGTGCTGGGTGGGGGTTTTCTCGGTAGAGTGACGTGACGGGACCGTAACTCACTCGTTCCTGTATCCGATGACTGGGTCTCAGACTGAGGCGACAGTCATCCTCGCCGACAGATGTAGGTCTGTCCAGGGTCCGTCAGCTAGTGACGCAAAGCTAGTGACAGGCGACAGCCCATCTAACTACTACAGTTGCGTGCAATTGCATACATGCAGTGTAATTGCTATTCATTCAGCCAGTCAATAGGGTGCTTCCAAACACACATACGGCAATAAACATGGACTCATAGGAAGAAACTTTCCGGATGCGCAACGTCTGAACTCTCTGGAGAACATTGGAACCTTTGAAGTATGGCTCACTGAATTGCATGACCTCCGTATAATTTCGAAGTCATCTGGAACTACGATGGCAATTCTTATTATGCGACCCTGACCTAACATCCATGAGAACATATTGTCCTCTGCAGCGAGGTTGTTTTGTTCTGTCGAACTCTGATGTGGCCGGCAGGTCTGGACAGGACTTTACCCTACTTCTTCCGGTCCAGCGGGCAGCGCTAGGGTCACCTGAGCAGGCACAGGGCGCTCAGTGGGGCTCACCTTTTACCCGCCGGAGGGCACGGGATCCAGAAACTCGCCCAAACCGGCTGTATCCGGTTCCAAGGCCTCTGAGGGCGCCGCCCACCGCGGGCCCCTGATCTGGCGTGATGAAACTGTCGAGGTCATAAAACAGTGGTCACGTCCCGTGTGCTACCAACGAAAGTCACGGGCTTCTAAAAAAGCCGTGGTTGATTGTTTTGATTGGCATATTCAAAGACGAAACAAACATGATGTTACCTGGCCAGTTACGACTTGTTGGTGGCACTGTACATTTTTGGTCATGTCGTTTGGTGTTGCACCGTTGAGTGGTTCTTCAAAAGCATGCCCGTGACACACTGTATAGTGTCATGTGGAACAAGTGTGGTATCGCACAGTGAAGTGCCGTTCAATTCAGTGCCGTTTTATGCCATGTCCGTAAAGCAATATCCTTCCTCCCCCCCCCCCCCTGGATCGTGCTGCGACATCAGCTCACGTGACAACTAATTCCTGCAGTGTGCCGCGCCACCAAGTGTCGTGACATGTGTTGTATCGGCTGAGCTTGTCAGGCCACTGCATGCCTGACGCCGTGTGTGGTCAATATCGGCCCGTGAGTCTGAGCGCTGCTCCAGGCTGCTGCTTTTATCATTATGCCCCCAGCCCTCTGGCGTTTTTAGAATACTCACTGGTGAAATTCACATCGCGTGTACGGTTCACAAATGAGAGACCGAGGCGAGAAAGCTCTGGCAGATTATTGCCACTTTGAGAAAACCGGCAGCATGCTGATTAAAAGCCAACACCGAGCGGCGCTCTAGCCCGAATGCGGACAGTCCGGCGGTCGGTAATGTTTATTCCGCCGGCAGGACTCGGTGCGGTTAGTGGGTCGTTCTCAGGAGCTATGATGGGGTGTGGCTGCCCCGGGAGTGGAATGCCACGACCCAGCCGTCTATCCTGAGTGGGATGGAACGGGAGGCAGTGGACTGGCACAATCCCGTTTTCGTTTTTTTTTTCGAAAGAAGGATGAGAGTGAGACCTAAGGATTAAATGTAAGTGGCAATGCCACAAAAGTGACACAAAGTGACGCAAAAAGCCCAGCCAAACCGTTAAGTCGTAGAATTTCACTCGATGAAAAGGAGCTTCCCGCTGGTATCTGAGAGCCGAGGACCCACTGATCGGTGAACGGTCGTAGTGCGGGCGGCGCCCTCCTCGGCTCCCCTGTTCCGGCCGCAGCCTGATCAGAGCGGTGGGTGGCTGGCGTGCCGCCAACAGACGGTCACCGACCACGGTGTGTCGGGCTGTGAGCCGGTAGCCGGCCGTGCCGCCAACACGGGCCGGTCACCGACCACGGTGTGTCGGACTGTGAGCCGGGAGCCGACCGTGCCGCCAACACGGGCCGGCCACCGACCACGGTGTGTCGGACTGTGAGCCGGGAGCCGGCCGTGCCGCCAACACGGGCCGGTCACCGACCACGGTGTGTCGGGCTGTGAGCCGGCCGTGCCGCCAACACGGGCCGGTCACCGACCACGGTGTGTCGGGCTGTGAGCCGGTGTATACCGTGCCGCGCCCGATCGGCCAGGCCCGCCGGTCATCTCTGATGATAGACCATGTGTTCTGAAACTGTGATCAGACAGTGGGGCGATGGAGTGTAGGCAGAGTCTGTAACTTTTCTAAGACGTGGTCTGCCAGAATGTGGGGCGTGGGCAGGCTGTGACCCGTGTCTTTGGACTGTAGGTGGCTGTGAGTGTGGTTTGTGGCACGGGCGGTGGTATTTATCTGCTACCGCTACGCTGATTAAAAGGACAGAATGGACACGGAAACTGCGTACCATACACTTTTTGTCGGACGTCTCGTTTTTTTTTTCCTTTGCGTGTAAACAGATCAGGCTGATAGTTGTGTATGTTCGGCTGATGATCGGCGTTACACTGTTTATAATGGCTATCGGTTTGTGAGTTGAATTTGGGTGGCCTCTGTCGTTATCGCATGATTGTTATGGAAAAGTATTGATTACGTGAGCTGTTTTGCTCGGGTGGTTCATTTCAAACCGTTCTGTCAGCCGTTAGGCCAACGTGTCTCATTATTTCTCGTATTATTCTATGACATTTATCCATTCTTCCTGGGACTGGAGTATTTTCTTCACACCATTTTACCCCTCTCGTTTTGTTTTCCAGGAGCGTTACAAGAAGTACACGTCGCGCTTCATTCACGTGGTTCGGACCAAGAGGTCATCGCCGGCCGACGTGGTGTGAGTACGCGGGAGGCCTGTCGCCCTCGGCTCAGTTTCGTGCGACTGTAGTTGTACTGCCGCTTCTGAGGGTCGTCGGTACTGGGGAGGGGTAGTGAGACCGGAGCTCGGGACGGGTGACCCAGCCACGTCCGGTGAAGCTGTCGGCGGGGGCTGAGACCGGGCGGGGGTATCACGTGCGTGACGTCACTGGACTCCCCTGGGGGCCGCACGGTGACGTCAGTGGTCGGTCAGAGAGCAGGATCAGCCACTCAGGCCGGAGACCGTGAACGACATTGAGCTTCCGCAATGATATTACGAGAGGGTGATTTATCGCCGCAATTCCGATGATTGCTGCCTCTCAGACGTGCTCCTATTAATCAGCCGTATGGTGGCATGCGGTATTTTGAGTGAACTCTGTACCATGACTGTCGTATCACGATACATGGTTACGTGTTGTGTCGTGTCGGCTGCGGCGGTGGGCCGCTGCTCGCAGCTATCAGCTGTCCGTGTGGTATGTTGCAGGGATGAAGAGGCAATCGACCTAGAGAAGCCGCGTCTCTTCGTGCCCGATATGGCCACGCGGGAGTTCAGAGGTACGCTGCTAACCTCCCCCAACGACCAATTTCCGATCTTCTCCTCCCTTCCCCCTTCCACATTATGATTATTTTGAGATGTTATGTTGAGTGAATCCGCTGTCTTATCCTGAGAACAACGGAGCTGGGGAAAACGGCTCAGCTCTCGGTAGCCGTGGTCAGGTTTGAGCTGACCGCTCCAGCTGAGATCAGCCCTCATGGCCAGGACTGGGGATGGCCGGGCGGCTGCACCGGACGCGGTGTTTACTCTGCCCCTGCAGTGACTGCAGTCGGTGCTGTCCCGGTCGAGAGGGGGAGGGGGGGGGAGAGGGAGAGGGGAGCCACGCCCACCACCCGGCAATTGGTCAGCGAGAGGTCTCTGAACTTGGAGCCGTCATACCGACACTTTCGTAGAAGGAGAGGGAATCTGGGGTGTTGGTTTTCTTTCCACGGTGGTCTCGGCATGGTTCTGAATTGGCTCGTGAAGCCTTTGGCATATTTCTCTTTTTTTTGTTACTTCTCTCAAGCAATTGGCATTCCTTTACTGTTATTTTTTTCAGCTATTTTCCGTCTCAACTTCTCTCGACGACTCCTGAGTAGTGTATGCTAGCAAAGGTTTATCCGGGGCTCGCTGACGGCCGAAATTCGCGGTGAATATTTGTAGAAGCTGCACAGCTGTGGTCGTTCCACAGCCGGCCAGCCTTCCATACCTTCCTGTGTGGACAAGCGTTCAGGTGCCCGTAAGACTGGTGCCCGAAATGACCCCTCGTTCTACATGGGTAATTTTTCCTCCTTTTTGCGCCTTTTTACGTCTGGTCGACTCGCGGCTACACTTGCTCAGTTGCTCGCGGCCGTGACACGCCGATAGGCCGTGGCTGCCTGCCTGGTCCGACACTCCCATAACAGGAACTGACTATGACTGTCCCCGTGTTTATTTAATTTGTCACATCATCCACTGCCGCTGGGAGAGGTCTGGACTTTGAGCGGCTGCGTGCAACACTTATAAGTGTCATGCCGGACACTACGCTGCTGCGCCTATTATTTCGTTGAATTATGCAGGGAGATAGATGGCCCTAGCTCAAGCCTATGTTATGCTTGGTTCTGACCGTAATGCTCTTGTAAATCAAAATTGACCGCTTTGCGTCTGGTTTATAGAGGAGCAGCTTAAACGTTGTTCTGGACACGACCCTCATAGGCGACTCTCTACCGTCGCGTCATCCCGGACAGTTCGGGGAACTGAAGTTTATTTTAGCGAAGATGCGGCCTGTCCCTCCGTCGAAGTGTCCATGTCCATCACAGGGCATGGTTGACTCGTCTGCAAGGCCACTAACCAGTACTTCGTCACGATCGCTTCAGAGAAATGATATCGGTCTCTTGGTACCTACCTTCTCCGGGCCCCTTTGCACAGATTTATTATGCCCCTCGGCAGGGCTGCGGAGTCGGAGTCGGAGTCGGAGTCGGTCGGAGTCGACAGTTGTGACCGGAGTCGGAGTCGGAGTCGATTTTAGAAACCCGAGCCGGAGTCGGAGTCGGAGTAACCGAAAATCTGTCGACTCCGTAGCCCTGCTAGGTCTGCGGAGTCGGAGTCGGGAGTTGGAGTCGGTCGGAGTCGACAATTCTGCCCGGAGTCGGAGTCGGAGTCGGAGCTGGTTTTTGAAAGCCGGAGTCGGAGTCGGAGTCGCCGAAAATCCATCGACTCCGCAGCCCTGCCCCTCGGCCTCCCCCTCCCCTTCCCTCAAAGTTAAGTGCGTGTGGGATTGTCGTTTGTGTATTTTGCTGGCGTCAGCTCCTTTACGGTAGATCTGTATGAACTTGTCGTCAATGACGGTTGCGCTGTCGGTATGGCTCTAGGAAGTGTTTTACGTCTCACAGAAGGCCAACATTTGTATCTCGTTGGTAGCCGAGGATGGCTTATACCAGTTACTACTGGTATGAACTGGTATAATCTGGCCTGGCTGACCGTAACATGATGGCTGTCTTACGACGCACCGCTAAAGGCGATCAGATAGAGCAGCTATATCGATCTGTATTCGCGTCGGGAGCTCGACGTATGGAATTTCAGCGAGCCATCGTGCGCGCTCTTGAGCAGTTTGCAGTGCACGGGTCAGTGGTTACCCATCGATCAAATGAATAACATTTTACGTGAAGTGGCATTTCTCCCGTGTTGTATGCCGTTGCTTTTGATACATGTCTGTTGCCCTCATCTGTTATGGATAACCTTAAAATCAATGCGTAGGCTACCTTGATATTTAATCTTAATAGTCTACCTCCGTATCAATGTGAATTGGAGTTTTCCCTTGTTTGAGGGTGAATGTAGCACGATCGATTTGTGTCGTTTCCGTGACACCGTTCACTCCCCGGAGCTGACGCGTCGGTTTGTGTGCACAGCTGTGACGGAGATCCGCTTCTTCCGGCACAAGAAGCTGTGTCATCTATGGAACAACGAGACGGAGCGGTTCGAGCGACTGGAGCCTGTGTTCACCGGCCAGCTGATGAAGGAGCTGCACAACATGAAGCCGCTCTCGGTGGCAGAGCAGGACGGCAGGTGAGGGAGGGATAGAGAGAGAGGGACGGAGAGAGCAGGACGGAGGTGAGAGGAGAGAGGGAAGGTAAGAGAAACAGAGGGGCAGAACGGTCCGGTTAGGTGATGCGGGGGACCAGCAGATCGGGATTGATAACAGATCGCCCGAATTACTCTACAGATCAGCGTGAAGGGGCAGAGGAGTAACGGTAATGCGATAGTTCCTAATCAATTAACTGCTTTGCTCACTGCTCAGCATTATGGCATTGGTAATGTCGCTGTACTGTCATGTCAGTACAGTTGCACTTAAGTGCTCTCGGGAGAATTATTTTCCCACTGTGGTTTCGATATATCTGTTTGAATACGCGTCCAGCGCTGTTCAAATTGAGCGCTGTTCATTTCCGGCATTGTGTACGGCTGACACGGCTGGTGTTGTATGTAGTTCAGTCACATCTTCACTCCCGGCGCGGTGATATTCTGCGGGCGTCTTAAGCGGCCAGTCTGCTGATAAATACGTGACGGGCCGCAGACAGCGGCTGTCAAAACAGACACGAGCCCGGCGCAATCTGTGTGTCGTCAGCTAACGATTCGAGTGTGTCGCCGGCCTCACTAGTCACTGGCACTACCGTAGTCACTGGCACTACCGCGGGGTGGCGTTAGAGGGCGGCATCTAGCCGTATATCGACGGCTTAATTAGGGGCTGTGGATGGATACTCAACGCCCATTGCTCACACCGTCTTCACAATGACAGTTACGCTGACCCTGACCCTGATCTTGACATTGACAGGGACATTGGCAGTGGCTCTGATGGAGCACCGACACCCACAATATCTGTAGTCTAAAGGTGCGGGTAGTAGGTGGGCTCTCTATAACTATTTGGCGTTAAAATACTAGCATTGCTGACATGCAGTGGTAGCGCTCTTAATCGCAACTTCCATTACTGCCAAACACTCTTGACCGTGCCTTTCCTGCCGACAGGCGGGCCGTGTTCGGCGACAACAACATCAACCTGCAGCTGACGCCGCTGCTGAAGATCATCTTCCTGGAGGTGCTGTCGCCGTTCTACGTGTTCCAGGTGTTCGCCTGCCTGCTCTGGTTCCTGGACGAGTACGAGTATTATGCCACGGCTATCGTGGTGGCTTCCACGGCCTCCGTGACGGCCGCCGTCTACCAACAGAGAAAGGTGGGCGGACGCGACTCGCGGCTCGGTGGTACAGAAGGCGCGACACTGGTACTCGGCTTCACCCAGCCGGGGAGGGGAAGGGGAGGTATGGTCGCTATCCTTCGAGGGAAGAGATTATGCTCTGAGGTGGTCTGTACCAGGAGAGGGTTTGAAATGAATTCATCGTGATATCAAACTAAGGCATGAATGATTCTTGGTACTTGGCACTCGATCTCTGTCCACGATAGTGGCGGAATTATTTGTTACGTTGATTTACAGTGCTATCAGTTGTTTTATATCTTAATGCGATCACTGACGCACATCGCCATTATTCGAGTGCACTTTGTGGTGTGGTCATGCCCCGCCGCCCGGTATGACCTTTTACGGTGACCTGACCTGACCTGACCTGATCATGCCGCCGGCAGAACGAGAAGAACCTGCGGCGCACCATCCACGTGACGGATGTGGTCGAGGTTGTGCGGGACGACGACAGCACTCAGGTAGGGATGCTGCTGTAACGCCGCTCCCCGGCGGCACCCGCTACCACCATTCCCGCTGATACCAGCCCCGTCCCCGTCATTACTACTTCCCCTAGAGTCCTCGGAACCGAACGGCATTGTGGTCAAGACTGAACGATATCGATTTGTTGAACTATGTACTAACATTGACGTTGCGGGGCTTCACACTTCTGCAGACATTCGATTGGTCCTTTATAGCGGACCGCGCCCAGCCCAGCGGTGTCGAATGCAGAGACTGACGGTTCCCGTCGCCCGGCGTCCCGCAGGTAGTCCCCGCCGACTGTCTGGTACCCGGCGATATTATCGTGGTGCCCTCTCACAAGACGACGCTCTGCTGCGACGCCGTGCTTCTCACCGGAAACGTCATCGTCAACGAGAGCATGCTCACCGGTGAGAGCGGGGAAGTGAGAAGGTACCGGGAATGAGAGCGGTGTGAGTGGGATGTTTGAGGGAAAGCGAGAGCGGAAGGAGTGAGGTGGTAGATGGTGAGCGAAGGCGGAGAGAGTGAGCTGGGAGCTGACTGAGCAGATTGTTTAAGAAACGCGCTCTGCACGATGCTACTACCTACTGGCTACGTCGTGCGCAGCTGCCTTGTGGTGTGCGAAACCTTACAACTTATGATCCAATTGTTTCTGTTGTCATGTGCCTGACATGCACGACGCACGCACGTATCCCAGGCCGATGACTGACTGTGTCGCTCGCCCCGCAGGTGAGAGCGTTCCGGTGACCAAGGTGCCACTGCCGGCCGACTCTGGTCTGGAGCGGTACAGTCCGCAGCTGCACGGCCGACACACCCTGTTCTCGGGCACCCAGCTGCTGCAGACGCGATACTACAAACACGAGCGGGTTAGTGAGGGAACAAACAGATACTGCAATACACAAATAGACCCGGTTCTGCAAACACGTGCGGGTTAGTGACTCGGACAAGTGCTGCAAACATTAACGGATCCGGTACTGCAAACGCTGGCGGGTTTAAATGAGATAAATATGATGCGACCACAAAGTACAGACCCGGTGCTTCAAACACGAGCGAGCCAGTTAAGGGGACCTTTTGCTACAGCCACCAATCGATGTTACAAACGTCGGATCGGTCCTCTCTGTTATCTGTCCCCGAATCATGCACGTTATGCCGCAATGGTGAACGGGCCATGTTTTCGCCGCACCCGGCGAATTCCACGTCATACCACAGCGCCACTGGCCGCGGCTGTGCCTGTGCTAGGACAATGGCCAGTGGGCCATGAGCCGTTCCTCTGTGAGTTAACACCGTCAATCGTTTGACCGCTTATTGGTTTTCCAGTCTGTATGTTATGCTGTCGCCCGTCGTGCAGCTCAATGCTGATTGTTTTCATTGTTATTTAACATTCCATGCACTCGTGCTCGTTATGCTATTTTGTTTAGGTTGGCCTCCTTAGCAGTCACTGTAGACAACTTAAATTGGTGGAACCAGCACTGGCTAACTTCTCACTTAACCCGCGCACCGACGGGGGTCTGCGCCAACTTCGCACCGACGGGGGGGGGGGGCGGATGACCGCCCCCCCCCCCGAGATCTCGAGAACGAAGCAAGATAGCGACAAGCGGTAAACGGCATCGGATACGCACGGCCAAGATCTACAATTTTTACTAAGGTCATTTTCAGGTCAGGTCAAAGATGACGTCACAGGGGTCGAAAAAGTCAAAATGGCGGCGCTAGATATGGAGAGAGTTTTTCTCGAATAACTTTCGAATTAGTCAAGATAGGAACAAACTAAGGGCATCATCGTGATCCTCTCGTCAATCCGCATCGAATGATATATATATGTTGACCTCGAAAGGTCAAGGTCAAAGGTTGACCTCAGGTCACGTGACCTCGAGGTCATCATGTATATCATTCGATGCGTCTTGACGAGCTGAACACAATGAGACCATCCACGCGTCTGTATCTTGTTCCTGTACGGAGTTATTGGCCAAAAACCTTTGGTGACCTTTGATGACGTCACATGACCTCACAGCTGCCCAACAGCAAAACAGACCTCAAGGTAGTGAAGGTTGATCGTATATGAAGTCATGTATGGTATATGAGGCCATTCCGACCCGTTTTAGTGGTAAAAACAGGGAGTTGATTTTTCCCCCATTGACTTATAACGGGGAGGTCGCGAAATTGACCTGACCTTAGGTCACCGATATCAAAATTCCGAGATATACAAATTGTAGCTACTAATGACCTAATAATATCCTGCGACTTTCAAAGGCCTCCGACATCTACTGTAGCTCTGGCACGGTGACAAAGTTGCAAAAAAGTGACTTGAGGTTGGGTCATTCAAAGTGACCTGGTGACCTGACCTTAAAAGGTAGGAGGTTCAAACTTGCACACCATGTGTAAAATTGATGAGGTTATAGTCATACCAAATTTCGCGGCGCTAAGCGCCGCGGTTTTCCCGCTATTCGCGAAAAACCTCAGGGGGGGGGGGGGCGGATATCCGCCCCCCCGTCGGTGCGAGGGTTAAACCAGCCGCGCCTTACGGACAGGCTGGCCACGTCATCGGATCTGGCCTCCCCAGGGGCTTGCCGAAATGACGTCATATCTCTGTCTTTCGGAATGTTGTCGAATTATCTGGCGCTAGATTTGGCATGGTATTACTGGGTATCGTTACCGCGGCCTTTGCTGGCAGCGTATGACTTCGTACGACACATATGAATTACGGTCCTTGTTGACCTCAGTGGACCGGCCCATCTGATCGTTAAGTACTAGCGACATCAGCTCACCTGACCTGATCCCGTCTGTCTGTCCCCGAAAGGTGCTGGCGGTGGTCACCCAGACCGGCTTCATGACGTCCAAAGGCCAGCTGGTGCGCTCGATCCTGTACCCGCCGCCGGTGGACTTTGAGCTGCAGCAGGACAGCTACAAGTTCATCGGCGTGCTGGCCTGCGTGGCCATTGTGGGCGTCATCTACTCCAGCTATACCAAGGTGGGCGCGTTGGGCCGACAGTGGCGGGGGGAGGGGAGGGGGGGGGGTGCGGGAGCCGGGGTGGTGTTGATGGAGGGCGCCTAACTGGCGCAGCTTGGTGTCACGAGATTTGATTCAAATGTCCACTGTGTTTGAGAGCCACCGGCCAACCCGCTAGAGTGCTTTGGGAAAAATCATCGCAGGTGGACGACCTGCCTCTGACCCGCGCCCGTCCATCCACCGGCAGGCGATGCGAGACGTGCCTGCGAGCGACATAGCGCTGGACGTTCTGGATCTGGTGACGATCGTGGTGCCGCCGGCGCTGCCTTACGCCATGGCAGTCGGCATCATCGTGGGCGTGGAGCGTCTGTCGCGGCGAGGCATCTTCTGCATCTCCCCGCGCAGCGTCAACCTGGCCGGACTGATCGACATCGTCTGCTTTGACAAGGTTGGGAGGGCGCCTGGGCCTGACGTGGGCTGGGCTGGGTTGGGGTGTTGTCTGCCGGATTGACAATGGGCATTGTTTGACGGTTTTGACGTGGGTGTTTAAATTTTACATTAACGCGTACGTATACCACATTGTCGATGTAAGCCGTTCCTCTCAAGATTACTTTACTACTCAGGTTGGTTCACTAGGGAAATAAAGGCGCCGTAGCTACGTCACGGATTTGGTAGCAATCTGGTAGCAATTTTTGCAGACATCAATGGCGCACGTGTTGTTTGATCGTCGCCAATACTATTTTACTGCACTATTTTGTTATTTCACTGCAATGTATTGTACATTACATTTGAAAATTAAAATAAAGAAATATTCGTAACCCAGCAAGTCAGTTATTCTTTGAGGCAGCACTCTGTCAGCATTGAGCCTTTAGAATGTGTCATTTGAAAGACTTTCCCATATTTTCTACTCTTGTGGAAAACTTTCTTAGTCATCAAAAGTGTATGCACATATGAATAATTAGAACTTCATTTTCAAAGTTTTATAGAAATAAGATTTCACATTACATTATCATAAGGCTACCTGTCCATTTCGTCCATCCAATTAAATATTCATCCAGCAGAAGGCAGGTACATCTGAGAAGGTACTGATATCTCTTATCTACACCAATATTTCAGGAAAATGACTGAGAATGAGACTGAGACTGAAAATGAGAATGAAAATGAGAATGAAAATGAGACTGAGAAGCTATTAAAAGTTAAAACTTCAGCGTATGAAAGGGATGTTATGGCTTATGCACATTGAAAAACTTCAGATAATGCTTTTGAACCATTTCATTCACCAGCACACATCAATCCGGCTCCTGGCTTCTGTCAAGGAAACATTCCAAAATAATGCATTATTTTATTTCATTGATCACCTTGCAAAAGACAAACAGCGAACACATCACCACCAAAAACAAAAATAGTCAACAGGTAGGTACCAGCTGATCTAGCCGTGCTGTGTCATGTGCCTTTTACCGGGGTTACATGAGCAAGTAAATGCGTATCAGGAACGGATTTTCCTATTCGCTCACCATTGTAGTCCGTTTGTAATGCGTATTAACTCTGCTCATGTAACCCCGAGCTTTGAAAAACTTGAGCAGTCAGGGTTGAATAAACACCCCAAACTTAGCCATTCATGCATGAACAAGTGCAAATTCTGGTCGAGCATTTATTGAAAATGAAACTAACAGCATTGTAGGTTACAATTATAAAAAAGACAATTAAAAAAACAGCATAGCTTACTCTACAAGGCATAACCATTAATTTTATAACTGATATCCAAATTCGCATCTCCGAAGTTAAACCCACCTACCAGCCACCTGCACATTTCTGCGCACATGTGCTGCGCAATGTGCACATTCACTACACATTACACAATAATGAGAATTAAAATAGTTTTAAACAATCAAGCAAGTCAGGACTGGTATGCAGATTCACAAGTTCTCTCAACATCTTCAATTACCAACAATCAAGAGCATCTTGTGATCTCAGTAACTCCGCAGATCCATCTTCTGTTTTCCATTTTCAGTTTTCAATTGAATTATAAGTTCCATCTGGGAGACACATGTTGCATCATTATGTATAAACAATTATTATGCTTGAACTTTTGGTTTTTCATGTGAGCTTCACTTCAAAAGTTGATTCAATTTTTAAAGTTGATATAATTTGTATAATGCTACGATCACGGCGCACCAAATCACAGATAACTTGAAAATAACCAAGCAAAAGCCACATTCTTCAGCAAACTATGAGAGCTATCTGATCCATGCTGCGTTGAAATAATTGAAAATCGCCAAAATCAGTCAAAATATGACAATTAAATTAATATAAACTTCACAAAACTCTTATTTGTGTGGCAAGCGCAACAGAAATGCGAGGGAATATGGTAGTAATCTGGTAGCAATTATGAAGGAATTCCTCTGTCGCTGATAAAAAGCACTTGAAACAATTTTTTAACGCAGAGGAAATCCTTCATTATGAGTTGCAGGGACCATTTGATTGGCCCATTTTAGACAAATTTAGGCCGAATGTTTGGATTTCAACCCCATTTATCGTAATGAGAAGAATCCATTGGCTTAGTGGTACGTCTTTTGAACACATGTAGGCCTTAGATTTCTCCTTAGCCCGCCTGAAACACACCATGCTTTGCATGCATTTCTATGGGTGAAGGAAAATTCATGCGCCGTGATGACGTCACGGTAAAGGAATTCTGAAGCTCGTGAACGGGGGCTGGTTCCTCTAACATCTCGCTGATCCCCCTCTCTGCTACAGACGGGCACTCTGACGGAGGACGGTCTGGACCTGAAGGGCGTGGTGCGCGTCTCCTCGACTGGTGACCCTCCCGGCGCCGCCTCGCCAGACTCCGGCCCGGGCGAGCGTCAGCTGGAGTCGGTCTCCAGTCTGCCGGTCGGCCTGTTCACTACCGGCATGGCCGCCTGCCACGGACTGATCCTCATTAACGGGGAGCTCACCGGCGACCCGCTCGATCTCAAGGTCAGTACAGAGGTCAAAGGGGAGCTGATTGGCATCAAGGTCAGTGTACGGGTCATCACAGGGAGTAGGCTGTTGGACTGCAAGGTCGGAATTACAGAGGTAATCGCAAATATTTGAGTTCACTCAGTTGTAACTTGTACTTTCTGTTACTTGTGAGCCGTATTAATTGTCATGCTTCATACTCGTGCTTCTAATGAAGTTGGCACTAACGCCTTGCCTACAAGTCCCTCTGTCCCTGCGATGTCACGACCCGGTTCTCTACCGTCCGCTGACGACTCTCCGCTGTCTGCAGATGTTCGAGTCGACCGGCTGGCAGCTGGAGGAGCCCGAGATGGACGAGACGAGCCGGTTCGACGTGCTGGCGCCGACCGTGGTTCGGCCGCCCGCCGGCCTGGAGACGGAGACCGTGCCGGAGGGAGGCGGGAACGAGGGGGATGTGGAGATGGACCAGGTGAGGGGAGGAGAGGGAGAGAGGGAGGGAGGGACTGGAGAGAGGGAGTGGACACGAGGGAGGCTGGAGAGTCGGCCCGGCGGGTGACAAAGGGGAGGGCGGACAAAAATGTGGTTAGGCACAGGGAGTCGTGGTCTCACGAAGTGAGGCGCCCTGGCCAGGACTGCGGAAAAAAAACAGTAGTTCGTGGGACTGAGCAGTGACTGAGCTGACTGGCCTCGCCCATTGCCTGCATGCTGCTGCACCATCCATGCGTATGTCTGCCTGTCCGTCCGTGCGTCTCCATCTGACCGGGCCCGCCCGCTCTCCGTCAAGGATGTTCCGTTCGAGGTGGGCATCGTGCGCCAGTTCGTCTTCTCGTCGTCCCTGCAGCGGATGTCTGTTCTGACCCGGCGACTGGGCGCCAAGCACATGGAGCTCTTCTGCAAGGGCTCGCCAGAGATGATCATGTCACTCTCCGACCCCGAGACCGGTGAGTTGTAGGGAAGTGTGTTTGGGGGGGGGGGGAGTTGGCGGCCCAGTGGAAGTGGTGGAGGTGCGCTGTTGGTGGTTGCCGATTCATTTTCTTTTCTTTTTCTCAGCCACCCGGACCTATACTTCCGATTTGTTGTAGTTAGCGCAACCACAGATCACGAGTCTAACTATGGTAGGTATTGCCTGTATGTTGTTCCATTTGGTTGAATTTTCTAAATAACTTCACTGTCATGACTTGTCCCAGAAGGCCAGGATGTAAATAGCCATACGACACGCGTGATTTCCCTGCCATGTTCGCATTATCTGTTGTGCCCAGTAAACTGACTCCCCTCCCCCTCTCCGTGCGACAGCTGTGCCGCCCAGTACGCGTCCCCAGCAGCCTGGACTCGTACACTTGGCAGCACGGGTTTCGTTAGTTGACGTTCCCCCCCCCCCCCCGTGTTTCAGTGCCGGCCAGCATCCGGCCGGTCCTGGACTCGTACACGCAGCACGGGTTCCGTGTGCTGGCGCTCGGCCAACGGCCGCTGCCCAAGCTGTCGTACGCGCGCGCCCAGCGCATCTCGCGCGAGGAGGTCGAGTGTCAGCTCACCTTCTTGGGCCTGCTCGTGTTCGAGAACCGGCTGAAGCCCCAGTCTCGGCCGGTGCTGCAGGAGCTCTACAACGCTGATATCCGCACGGTGATGGTCACAGGTGAGATCACTGGGAGAGACAAGGGTTTGTGGTCAGTTGTGATTGAGGGCTCTAAACAGGCAAAACTTAGTTATACTGCCCGGCTACGTCGCTTCCTTGCTTTCGTTGTAATGCTAAAGCTAACTGCAGACCAAATTGTGTTATGAGCAACAGCGGTCCATGTGGCTTGTCCAGTCTGGTTGATATTAAGTTCCAGAGAGATTCTGTCGTTGGTCGACCTAGTACAAGCTGTTGCTGGTATCAGTTGTGAGGTATCGGCTGTCGCTGACCAGGCGTCAACGGTTCGTTGAATCAGCGTCAGATATGACGTGTTTTGTATCGTTTGTATATTACGTGTCCCGGATGTCGTGTCCACCCCACCGTCGTCTCTGCCCCGCCTCGTACTCCGCCGTCCGGACCCCTCTGACCTGTGCCTTCCCTGCTCCAGGCGACAACATGTTGACGGCGCTGTCCGTGGCTCACGACTCGGGCCTGCTGCCGGCCGGGGTGCCCGTGGTCTCCATCTCCGTGGCTCCGGCGGCGCTGCCCGGTGACGGTCCGCCCCCTCTCGTGTACCGGCTGCTGGAGCGCACGGCGCCCTGCCCGGCGCAGTCGGTGGCCGGCAGCGGGGACGGCGCGGCGCGGCTGGCGCTGGCCGCCGAGCCGGCCGATTACCGGCTGGCCGTGACGGGCTCCGACTGGGAGGCCATCTGCCGCTACCACCCGGCGCTGGTGCCGCGGCTGGCCGTCCGCGGAGCCGTGTTCGCCAGGATGAGGCCCGAACAGAAACAGCAGCTCATTGAGCGTGTCAAGGAGCTGGGATATCACGTCGGTGAGTGAGGGACGAGACTAGTGATCAGTGAGGAGAGGGAGGAATGGTTGATGGTTTAACCGGCTGCTAACTTTGATAGATAAGACTTCATATTCTTGATAGCGGGTACTCAGTAGCATCCCGCTGATCCTTTTAAGAAAGCTGGAACAGTATTAGGGCAGGGTTTATGTTCACTTTCCGATAATGTAGACGCTTTTTTGCCCAGAGTTCTGACATTGACTCACCTGAGGTGAGCATCGCACTGTCATCCTAGTACCTGTGTCTGAACCTCACCTCCCCGCCGACAGGTATGTGCGGTGACGGCGCCAACGATTGCGGCGCGCTGAAGGCCGCCCACACGGGCGTCTCTCTGTCCGAGGCGGAGGCCAGTGTGGCCTCTCCCTTCACCTCCCGCACCCCGGACATCGGCTGCGTGCCAAACATCGTGCGCGAGGGCCGCGCCGCTCTGGTCACCTCGTTCGGCGTGTTCAAATACATGGCCGCCTACAGCCTCACCCAGTTCATCTCGGTCATCATCCTCTATGAGAAGGAGAACGCTCTGACCGACTTCCAGTTCCTCTACATCGACATGTTCCTCATCATGGTGTTCTCGGGCCTGTTCAGCTTGACGCGCGCCTACCCGGGCCCGCTGTCGAGACAGAGACCGTCGGCCAGTCTGGTCTCAGTCACTCCCATCCTATCACTGGTGAGTGAAGGGTAGGGGGAAGGGCCATAGTATCAGAGCGGCGGGGAGGCAGAGTGCCCAGAGTCAGAGAATAGAGACGGGGTTTCCTACGCCATTAGTGCCTGCGTGTGGCACACGTCAATGGGTCCCTCGACGACGGCGAGTGCCCAGTGCGATCACTGTTTGTGGCCCTTATCCGACCCTGTCCCGTAACGACTCTTTTTCTCTGTGGCTGACCCTGTATGGTGATCCCCAGGTCTGTCAGATCGCGCTGGTGGCCGGCGTCCAGATATGGGCCAACGCGGACGTCCAACGCCAGCCGTGGTACATCCCCTACAAACCAGCGGGACCAGACGAAGACGACGACTTCGCCAGCCACGAGAACTTTGCCGTCTACTCGGTGAGCTCGTTCCAGTACATCTGGCTGGTGCTGGTGTTCAGCCGCGCCGCGCCGTTCCGCCGGCCGCTCTACACCAACCTGTGGTTCTCGCTCTCCATCCTCATCAACCTGGTGTTCTGCGCGTGGTGCGTGGTGCACCCGGCCGACTGGATGGCCTCGTGGCTGGAGCTGCTGCCGCCGCCGTCGCTCGACTGGCGTCTGAAGCTGGCCGGAGTGGCGGTGGCCCAGCTGGTGGTCGCCATGATCCTGGAGTACGGAGTGGTCGAGGCGCTGGTCACCCGCCGGCTGCTGCCCAGGTGAGGGCTGGGGAGGGTGCGGTATGATAGGCACAGGGGATGGAAGGTAGGGAGCACTGGTGGTTGTAGGACAGGTATTTGATTCGAAAACTTTATCTGTTATTGCTGTTTATGATTGGTCTGTGTCACTTGATGGGGTTCATTACAGTTGACTTCAGTATCAAATGGTCGCATTTTTCTTCATCAGTTTTTTTTTTGTCCATCCTTTTGGTGTGCTTCTCCGGTCGTGTACCTATTCTAACCATGTTCTTCGGGTCTGACGTTCAACTCCCTCCGCAGACTGGGTGCCCGGGCGTCGTCGCGGCCAGCGCACACGTTCGTCTCGGACCGTCTGGCGGCTGAGGCGGGCAGCTGGCCGCCGCTCTCCGCCGCCGCCGCCCCCGCCCCCGCCCAGCAGGAGCTGTCGGCCGAGGAGCTGATGAAGCGGCTGCCGCCGGCCGCCCCCGCCCGCTGACACCACGCCTGCCGCCGCCGCGACGAACGGTGAGTGGTGGAAGAGTTACCGACCGTTGAACGGGTTGATAATATAGTCTCCTTTTCATTTTTCCGTTGTTAATTTGACACGTACTCGTATATGCGTAGCCTTTTGCTGGCTTGTTTCGGTGACCGATATGCTCCCATCCCACAGGCCCGTCGCGGTCCGCCGGCGGACTCGGCGGTGGGCCAGCCGCCGCCCCAGCTGTCTGCGGCCAGCCCTGGCCCGCTGTCCGGCCCTCTGCGCGGCCACCTCGGTGTGTGGAGCGGACGCGGTGCGCCCTCCGTCACCCTGTCAGGAGAGCTGACCGGACCGGCAGGGCGGCGGGTCCCTCTCACAGGGCCGTCTGCGCAGCTGCTTGTGTGTCGTCTGGGACCGCGCAGCGGCTGTCCGTCGCGGGATAGACCGCCCCCGGGCCGGGAAACCGGTGTTGAGGTTAGGAGAGGTTCGGCTTCAGCCTACGCCTGCCGCCGATACTGTTAGTGCAATCATTTCGACGGGCTTACTGGACGACGCCGGCCATTTATTGCTGTGGTATTTTGTTTTTGTTGTTTGTAGTGTATAATTTCGGACAATCACTCAGTGTATTGTTTTCTGAAATCGGTTGCTGTATTAATCTGATATTGATCAATGATCCGGATAACCGGTGTGCTGTGTGTGACTAACGAGTCCCTTGCTGTTTAATGGAGCCCGCCCTCTGTCTAATGGAGGCTGCCCTCGGTGTAATGGAGTCTGCCCTCTGTGTAATGGAGGCCACGTAGTCCGCGATGGAGGCGCCTTCTGGATAATGGAGGCTGCCCTCTGTGTAATGGAGCCCACCCTCTGTCTAATGGAGGCCGCGGGGCCTGTAATGGGGGCTGCCTCGCCGCGTGTTGAGGCTTCAGCGCCGCTAGTGATATGTGGCAGCCCGCCGTAGTCGTGTAGTGCCCACTATCCCTCTGTGTTGTGTTTGTAAAGACGCCACTCGGTCCGCCACCCGCGTGCAGCTGTGTACTCTGTGCACCGTTTTATATTCTGGCTTTAGGAGCGTGAATACAATGATAGCAGTCACCGCTGGGTGTCTGATGTGCCGAGTTATAGCGGTCACCTATCTTTATCTCAGGGGCTGCAGACGCAGAGTGCACGATACGGATACAAACTTGATAGGTATTCCAAATGACTGCTCCCTGTCTTAGCTCATGGCTAAGGACTGCGGAGAACATACGGTTTCGCAGGGCGCCATCTTATGTATGTATTTCAAAGAGACCGAACTATTTGAAATGAAGTGCAAAGCGCAAAGCACTCCTTGCGCACTTATCAAAGCACTTATTGCGCAAAGCACTCCAGTCGTCACATAGGGCTTAGGAACGCTCACATCACGGAACCGCATAATGTAGAGTAGGGGCTGGGCCATCATAGAACAGCGCCGGGGACCTATAACCGGTAAAGCCGCGCGGTTCGTTATTTGTATTGCCCCCCCCCCCCCCGGCCCAACGGTGCAGGAGCAGCGCAAGCGTGGCTGGCTATACTACAGCTGCTGCGATAAGGCTTAGGCGCACTTGGGTAAACAAGTCTCCCTGCCGCAATCGTCCGCTGTGGAGAAATCACCGAGTTGGACCACCGAGTTGAACTAGTGTCATGGCTTCAGCTTTTGTCCATCCTTTCAGAACCGTTCATTAGGGTAAACAACGACGAGGGCGTACTTCTTGTATCGTTCAAAACAACTCCGCAACGTCCAGAAAACAGTAGGGTACATTTCAGAGCTGTTTATTATTCACGTCTTCGGTTAGTTCCCCAAAAAGCCAAAAACCGACAACCGCCGAACACACCCACCGACGAGCCCATTATGGACGAGCTAGGGGGCTTCATCACACACTATGCCGAGCCGAGGACGGAGCGGCACCGAGACTGGAGCGCCTACAGTGGGAATCATCGACCCCAGTCGGTGGAGCGAGCGCCCGGTATTGACCGACATCGCCAAGTCGCCACCACCTGTATAAATGACACCACACATCCACACATATGGGCTCACAAATGGTGCGCCCACGACCGGCAGACGAACCGTCAATACATCGCCGGTTTACTGGAAAAGTGGCAAAATATATGGGCAACAGTGGCATATTGTTTAACAATTAACGCCGGCACTTTCAATATTCACGAAAACAATGTTGGTTAAAGTTGATCAGCTAATGACTACATAGATGGATAATAAGGGCGGTCTCGATTGCACTTCAGTTTACAGTTCGTGAGGCACACTTCATAAGGCACTAGCAATGAGCTATGTGTATCAAGGAATATGCACGAAACTTTAAAAACGTGACATACAAGACACAGCGGAAATATTGTGCACCACAAAATATAATAACATCCTTTGTACGTTCAAAACGATAAAAACTTCTATTAAAAAACATCAACAAGCCTACGATTATCGGAAATATGTGTAAATATCATATCATTTATCATTTATCATTATCATATCATCATATCTTTAACTCACGATTATTAACTTAAGAGTGGCAGGGAATAGTTTATATGACACTGGGGTTCTTTGAACATTGACAATGGCAGGAGTAAATGTTGTCGACAGGTTATCCAGACACCGTTTACATGCCAAAGTTTCAACGCCGAAACTTACAGTCGGAGGCGACGCCAACAGTCCCACAACCCCCGCCCACCCCAAAGCTTAGACACGAACTAGTTAACCATCCTGAGTGTTAGTGCGACCACCGACCCAACTATGTAGACCGAATCAGTGTGTTAGGTGGTGTGACTGGCGACTACCGATACATTAGTGATGCGGGTTAATGCAATACCATTACTGACACCATACAATCCCAGAGTTAGGTATGCTGACTACCGAGTTAATCTATAAAATAGCACATTTGTTACAACCCATGCCAAGCTCAGCTACTACCCGACACAATAAAATATACGAAAACTTCGAGCCCACTACCGTCCGTATGTTAATGTCGAGCCCGCTACCTACTCACTCACACTATACTATATATGACCGTACTTCCTGCCCACTACTGACTAATAAAAACCTTGTATGTGAGCCCAATCCTACCGCACTCGCCCTGGTCCCCTATGTGACCTCTGTGACCTGACCGTGATCCGGCTCCTCAGTCACCTCCGGCGCTGGCCTCCTTCGGAGCGACGAACGGCTCCACGGCGCCGCCGTTCGCCTGCCAGTCGAGGAACGAGCCCAGGTACAGTTTGACGTTGTTGTAGCCGTGGCGGTCGAGCACGGGCACGGCCAGCCGCACACGCCGGCCCGAGCGGCACGACACCCACAGCTCGTCCTTGGGGGCCGGCTTAGGGAAGCCGTACTGCGCGCAGAACTGGTTGTCCGGCAGTGCCAGCGCTGCGTCCAGCTCCTGCAGCGGCACGTTCAGGCTGCGCGGGATGCAGCCTGTCTGCTCCAGCTCGTCCCGGCGCCGGACATCCAGAAGCAGCAGCTGGCCACCTAAGGCTAGCCGAGATGACAGCTCACTGAAGTTCACCTGGTGCGAGAGCACCAGATCCTCGGGAGGCATCTCAGTGGGCAGGTCGGCCATGGTAAGTGCCAGCAGCCGAGAGCGGACACACACGGAGAGTTGGAGTTGTCTCACCAGAGGATGAACACACCTGCCAGCAATTCAGAAAGCACGATTGTCAGATATTCCACCAGACCAGATTCAGAACCAAACGAACACTTACATGCAGACTGCAGTTGAAGTTTTGTATTTTGTGAATAAAAGGTGACACACTCACCAAGCACCAATGAAATTCATGTCATGGGTACAGGATGTACTATGTGTAGGTATTTGACACTAATTATTTATAACCTAGCTAACTTTATTTGGTGAACATTCCAATCCCCTATTCTAGAATACTTCAAGTTTCCCCGACTGCATGGAATGCAGCAGAATACACAATATGCGTCTAACCCACCGCAAACACCTCCGACAACGGTGACTGCGAACGCTGATTCACACACAATAAAGTCGCACTCCTGTAACGTACCCCCAGCCACTCGCAGCTTGTTTACACCACTGAACTCTAATATATACTGGAAGGAGCATTGGTGACTTGTTTTTGTCTATCGATTTCCGCCATTTTGTGTATACCAGAAATAGAAATTGCATGTACGGTAGCAGAGGTGCAGTCAAGTGAGAGGTACACTACTCAAAAGTGCTGCTGCTTCATGCTTGCAGTTTGATTGCAGTGATCAGGGGGTGTCGAAGTCTAGTAGGAAAATCTGGCAAATTCCCTGCGTGACGTCACGTCGGGGATGACCGACGGCACCTTGCACTGAAAGATACGGCAGAACGGCTATTTTTGAAAAATGATTAAAAATACTTTTGTGCTGTTATGACGCATAAAACGCTTATCAGCATGTTCCTCATCATGTGATAAAGGCTTATCCGTGGTCGAAAATAGCTGAGCCCCTCCCAATTTCCAACCACCGACCTCATAAGCAAAGGATGTAAGCGTAATCCTTAAGGGCGACTTTCCTATACATATCCGTACATATGCGTCCTTATGGAAATCGGTAGTGTGGCGATTGGCGACGCGCGCGACATCTGTGTGGCGACCAAGTGGCGACTGTGGCGACACCTGGTGGCTGCTTTTCTGCTGTATATAGGCATTGGGGTTTTGCCAGATGTGGTTCCTAGTCCTACTGCTACCCCACTATGTTGACCCAATACTAGAAAAGTTATTTTGCTAGTAAAAGGCAAGCAAATTGAAAGTTGATTTATAAAATTGCTTATAAATGATTACGAGATAATAATAAAGAAATTTTGATTGAATAATTATTTAAATAATCAACCGTGAAACTATATTCTGGTAGGTTTAGTAGAAATAAGTCCGTGCAACCTTGTATTTAGGGCCTTGGCAGTGATCAACTTTTCAAGACTTTAGACGCGTTTACATAGGGTTTGTTGCAAGCTTATATCTCCGTCCGTGATGTTGCAAAAGATGCCAATGGTGCTGAGCAATTTACAAAATGATCCCCTCTAAATATTTGAAGACCACTGCATCGAAATTATCGCCAAATTAACGAGCTAGAGCCTCGTCAAACATGCTATGTAAACCGGGTTTTTGGTATACACAACATGGCGGAAATCGTTAGACATTCTGGCCCATATACGGCCAAGGCGAGTGCTTCCCCCTGGTTTACACTTCAATTTTTTACACTTTCAGCTACCCGAAATCAACAGGCCCAAGTTCAATGAGGTCTAGAAAGAAAAACTATCTAAAATCTTACTGCGTTTAACCAACCACCAGTCGGGAAGTCTAGCAAGTTTTCATGTGACTTGCAGACAGCAAATCGCCATCATGCATTGCATTTAAAAGTGCTTAATCTAATGTCGTCATCAAAATAGCGATTTAGAAAAAAGCCATAAGCAAGCTATCTTTTATTTTGCGCCATAATTGTATAGAGTCAGTGAAGCTATTGAATGTGCCAGCATTACAGCACTCTTAGCAAACCTAGCGTTGTATCCTGTTAGATACCATTTTGTGATCAATATTTTTCCTAGAGATTGTAGAATTATCAATATGAATAAATAAAAAGCAAAACAAAATACCTATCTTGATAATATCACAATACAAAAGTAGAAATAAAAGCCAAATAAAATATCAATAACTAGCTTCCAGAAAACATCACCAGGGTGAGCTAGTAAAGACTGATTTGCCTAGAAATTAGAATAGACTGTTAGATTACGTGCGTTTACGTGAGATTTTCTCTGATATGTGTGGGGTTGTTGCCGTTGTGATTGTCGTCTGATTATCCGCTTAGTTTTTCCATAATCAACCTACTTCAGGTGTTGTTGTCTCATGTCCGCGGTATACTGTATTGCCTCTTCATTTTGATGTAAAATAGCTTGCAAGGTGAAGGTGCCTTGTTAAGATTACTTCAGTGCACCGGTGAACTCAAAAGCTGATCAAACTACACACTTCCTTAAAAGTGAAGTAAAGGTAAGTATTTTTATTTTTTCTTCAATAGTTTTAGTTTTGTTAGTCCTGTTCAAATGTTGGCATTATTAGAGCAGACGTCACACGAAGGTTTTCCATCTGAGGAGAGGCGCTGTAGGTTCGTAGGTTTAGGTTTGTAGATTGGTAGGTAGGGTAACGGTAGCACAGACGTCACTGATAGTTTCCGGCGGTGTAAACAGTCAAGGTAGGTGTATTGGAAGTATACTGACTTAGATATGGTAGCACTGTTGAATTAAATGACGTCATTGGATTATGAAAAAGTCTCTAGAACGTGTCAGCCAGGACAAAATGGGACTCGGCCGGTTCCAGCAGGAGAAACTGGGACTCAGTCGACTACAGTAGGGCTCAGCCGGTCCCAGTGGGACACAATGGGACTCAGCTAGTCCCAGCGGGACACAATGGGACTTGGCTGGTCTCAGCGGGACGTAGTGGTACTCAGCCGACTACAGCGGGACATAGTGGGACTCGGCCAGTCCCAGCGGGACAAAGTCAGAATCAGCAGGTCCCAACAGGACACAATGGGACTTGGCTAGTCCCAGCAGGACAAAATGTGACTCAGCCAACTACAGCAGAACATTGTGGGACTCAGCCGGTCTCAGCGGGACGCAATTGGACTGGGCTGGTCCCAGCGGGTCACAATGGGTTTCGGCCGGTCTCAGCGGGACATATTGGGACTCAGCCGACTACAGTGGGACATAGTGGGAATTGAACTGGGACTCGGCCAGTCCCAGCAGGACAAAGCGGGACTCAGCCGACTACAGCGGGACATAGTGGGACTCGAGTCCCACTATGTCCAGCGGTAGTCGGCTGAGTCCAACTATGTCCCGCAGTAGTCGGCTGAGTCCCAACATGGATTAGGTATTCCTCAGTGTCCCAAAATTACAATTTGATTTGGGTGTCAGAGTGGGAAATTCGAACCCTAAAAGGCCAATGAGAGTGGAAAATTAGAAACAAAATGTGGGATATTAACTTAATAAAGGAGGAAAACGGCCCACTGATTCTCAAGGAAGTTAAATATTACATCGCTGGAGTTAGGGTTTTTCCACTCATTTATGCCAAAGAAACATTTGAGAGTGGAAAATTCACTTTGAAAATCAAAAGTGAGAGTGGAAAATTATTCACCATTGGGTGTCATCTCCCACCCAAACCAACAAATTTTGGGACATTGGTATTCCTGGATGGGACACTCCGCCGATTTTCCGACCACACGACGGCGGCGGCGGATTTTCCGATGGCGAGGGCGCGGGCGTCATTTTAGCATTGCGTGCTATGGGCGGAGCGCGTCTTTTTGTATACTTTTGTCGTTTATTGCTTACCTGTAACCGATTTTGATGAAAAGTTTTGTGAACCTGGTAGAACAGGAATCGAGGAATGTCTTGAAAATACTATTTTCCACTGATTTTTACTGATTTTCGATGAAATGTGTTTTACTCGATGTTATAGCGCATTCCGTAGAAGACCCGTGAACGGTAAAACATTTTATCTTTGACCTGACCTGTGACGTCATCGATGACCCCGAGGTAAATGAAATTGAAGTTCCCATGACGAAATTGATAGGGCTATCGATCGCCGATCGATACGTCCAGTAGTTTCGGAGATCGTGGGGGAGGGGAGGGAGGGGGGGGGGGGGAAAAGTACCCCCAGCCCTCACTGCGCGAAAGGTGGCCGGGAGGCCCACCGCCTGCCGGATTGACATGCCAGAATCAGTTCATATTTGAAGTGCAGAATTAGAATTATGTTGTCATATGATTCACATTCATTAACACCGCCTATCTGTTTCAGTGTTATGCCAAGATGATGGACAACATGGAGTCAGAGCCCGTCAACTCACCTGCGCCTGTGCCCAAACTGTTCAAAAGGCTGGGACAGGTGAGCACCTCAGTCTATCATTTCGATTTGTCAGGCACTGTGCAGATAAATCCTAAAACCATCTGGGTCTATATTCGTGTCAGCACCTACTTCCGATCGAACTGGTCGCCCCGTATCGCTCTCCGTCCCTGCTTTGACCCGACAGGCTGTCCCGTCCATCGTGCCTCCCTGACCCGCCCTGAATGGCCGTCCCGTCCTACTGCACGGCCTTGGCGTGTCCCAACTGTCCCAACTCTACTCCCTTGTCCTGCACCGATTAATCGTTTCGTCCCGTGGCCTCTCCGTCCGCGCTCACCCCTCCCCACCTCCGTCCCGCGGCCCGCCCTATCGTACTTCCCTGTCGTGTCCTAACCCGCTCACCTCCCGCTGTCCCCTACCGTGTCCTGTCCCGCCCTCCGTCCCTATTGTATCGCAACTGACCGCCCCGGCCCTGCTCCCTGTCCCCGTCCCTCTCTGTCTCTGCTTCTGTCGTGCCCCGACTCCGGGCCCCCTAACGCCCTCCGTCCTTGTCAGTTGTCCCACTACCGCCCCTCTCTGTCTCGTACCCCTGATGGCCCTGTGCCGCGCTCTGTCCCTATGCTCTGTCTGTATCATACCCTGACTGACGGTCTCGTCGTGCCTCAGACGTTTCAGTCGCTGCTGGACCGGTGGACGCCCCACACGGCCGCCCGCTGGGTGTTCACCATCGTACTGCTGCTCGCCTTCGCCGTCCGCATCCTGGTCGCTCAGGTTCGTACACAGCCGAGGCGCACGCCAAAGGAAATGGTATGATCGGTTTGGCTGTGGGTGAATGGAGTGGCGTGAGTGTAAACTGTGGAACTAGCGAAAGTGCCATTATTTATTTTTTGAACATCTTCTTAATTTACTTGAATGAGTATCTAGGGAAATTTTCGGCGAGTGATTTTAGGCTCTGCTTTTCTGTTGAGGAAGAGGTGGAGTCAGTCATTGCAATGCAAGTTGCCTATCGGGTGTTCCGGTGTTTTCCATGTTTGGAAAGATTTGTTTGTGTTTGGGCTGCTCGTTGTCCGTATTTTGATTTGGCCTGTGATGATCACATTCCATCATTAGTGTGGAGTTAAAATTACTTTTTTCTAAATATTGGGCTCTGACACAAGCTTTTATTTTTCACAGGGATGGTATATAGTAACATACGCCCTAGCAATATACCACCTCAATCTGCTTATAGCATTCCTCACTCCAAAGCTGGACCCCAGCTTAGAAATGGGTTTTGAAGGTGAGTAGACAATAGTGTGGTGTTCGCTCAGCTAGTGAAAAGATGACTGGTATCTCAGCTTCGACTTAGTTGAACTACTATAGCTGTGTTGGGTGGTATGTTGGTGTTTTGGGATGGTATTTGGGTGCTGTTAGTTCGTGTGTCTCCTAAACTGTCAGTCGCCCGGTAGTTGGTTTGATGGACACTGCTGCAATCGTTGTTCCGTTTCTCGCCTCCGTTTACGATGCATTTAATAACATTTTAGTCACCTGTCCTAGCGTCTTTTGCTCTGCTTTCTACGATTCTACCCAACTGGGTGCTCACTGCTCAATGTTACGCCATCTCATTTTTCCATCTGTATCAAAACGAGGACTCCTTTTGCCACGCCCCCAGCCCGCTGTCATGCCACGCTGTTCGCCTCTTTATTTACATCCCGTCATTTACATTGCCTGTATAATCCCGCATACCCTGAAGCTTGTCTCGCGGCTTTTTTAACCCTCGCATGTGTGCGGCGTTTGCCAGCTTCCAATGTGTAGGGGGGGGGGTCGGTTGGACCCCCCGCCCTTGCCGTTTGGCCCCTGATCGAGCTAGAGCTTCGCGAAAAAAACGAGCGTGTTGCCCGTGACAAGAGGAAGCCGATGATACCCAATTTTAAGGTCCTAGGTATTTGGTTGATCTTCCAGGTCAGGTCAATGACCCAAAGTTGGGAAAATCGGGACCCATTAGAAAGTCGTAAAGTGTGGCTGCTAAGGGGGTTTTCGGGGGTGCTGATCACGAATATCGTGTTAGTTTTGATCACAGATGATGTCTTTAAGCATTTAGACCAGGTCGGGTCAGGTCAGGTCAGGTCAACCAGTAGGGGTTGTGACGTCACTGACGGGTATTCGTAGTACGTGTCAACCGCCTCTGACAGCTTCGTAACATGTTACGAAGGCACCAAAACTACTTCGTAAATGTTCAAATGGTTGCTAAATTCGAATTCAGCTCCAAAAACTAGCCCAGAAACATGTACAACTCGAAAAGGTGAACCGAGGTCACCCGAGGTCACTAAAGGTCAATGACCTGACCTGACCTTCAGGTGACCTTGACACCCACCCTAATGCATGGGAGCAACACCAAATCACATGTTTGAACGTTTGAAACAACGAAAAGCTTGCAAACGCGCGGCAAATGCGAGCCGACATACGCGGAATCGCGATTCCGGCCAAACATGGTCTCGGAAAAGAGGTCACAGGTCAAAGGTCATTTAGGTCAGGGTCATGAAATTTTCAGGGTAGGTGTAAAATTGATCAATGCGAGGGTACTGAAAGTTTCGTCGCGATCGGCCGCTTTTTACGCGAGTTATTCGCGAAAAACCATGGGGGGGGGGGGGTCCATCCGACCCCCCCCCCCTACACATGCGAGGATTAATCCGCGCGCCTGACTTTCGAAGTGCAAATTTCACTGCCTGTCATATTCTGTCTATCTCACTGTCTTCACACCTTGTTCTTCTTACCGTCTACGTCCTGTCGTTTGACCCTTATACCTCTGTGTACAGACGGTGACGAGCCGGGCCTGCCGACCCGTTCCAACGAGGAGTTCAGGCCGTTTATCCGCCGACTGCCCGAGTTCAAGTTCTGGTACAGCGTCACCAAGGCCACCATCATCGCGTTCGTCTGCACCTTCTTCGAGTTCTTCAACATCCCCGTCTTCTGGCCGATCCTCGTAATGTACTTCATCACTCTCTTCTGCATCACCATGAAGCGGCAAATTAAGGTGAGAGTATGAGCACGCACAGTGGCGGTTTCGTTCGCAGTCGGTTGAATAAATGTTCTATTCGCTGTGACAATTTAACATTGGCGTCACAAATTCAGCTTTTTAGGTTCCATGAGGTCATCAGATTACGCACCAGGCTGGGTCTCCAGCATATTGAGTTGTCGTATACCCTACAGTTTACTACTCCGTTCAAGAACCAGCTAGCTTTTATCATCCGCTTTTGCCAGCAAAGCAGCGTAATGTGTTAGTTTGTTCTGTCACCTCCATGTCAGCGCCAGCTCGCAGCAACGTTGTTGCGTGACGGACAACGGTAGGACTCGTCATCAAACGTGTAGTTAAAGTGGGACCGGCAACCATCAGGAGACACACTCGCCCGCTTCCGGTAGCCTATTTGAACTTTGAGCGTCCTTGTGATGTATGTCACTAACTACAAACTGACTTGGTGACCCGAAATTGGCGTCACAAATCCAGCTCATCAGATTTTATAGGTGCCACGAGCCGATAATATCGTGTGCGTGGAGTCGAATGATCACAAATACACCTTACCGTCCCAGGCGCAGCGCTCAGGCAGCCGGGGCGAGTGTCGCTATCGCGCGCCGATCGTAGGTTATCGGCGCAGGAGTCGGTCACCAATGCCGGCCCCGGTCCGCTGAGACCACCGGACGGTGTGCGGTGGGGCGGGACTGTCCCCAGGGAAGGAGACTGACTGAACGATGACCGAATGAGATGGATTGGACGGGGGGGGGGGACTGGGGTGGTGGATACTAGCGACTGGACTAAATAGACGGTATCGAACCGGATTGGGTTGAAAAGTGATTGGACTGGACTCAGACGGATAGTGACCAAGCTGTGGCTAGACGGCCGCTTGCTGGACTGTGCAGTGTGTAGGCTCGACAGAGCCATTTCGGTCGCGCTCTGTCGTATACGACAGGTAGTTCATTGTTACCGCTATGGCGGCGACATTGAACGTCGTCGCCCGATCCAGATAAGAGTGCAGTGTGCGTGTTAGGTCGGTCAGGGCCGGGGGAAAGTCCCGCCGACCGACCGGTTGACCGCCGCCCCTGTGCCGCGCACTGCGCCGGGCTCTGAGGACAGGTGCACGTGACCGGGTCAGCTGACTGACGTGGTCGGTGGACCCAGTAATCGATGGTGCAGCTGCAACCCAGCCACGTATGCAGGATGTAGATACATATGTAACGAGTGCGGGGCTATGTGCTGAGCTGGTAGCGGTGCTATGTGCAGCTGCTGCAGATAAATAAAGCACATTATCAATTTGCAGATTCTGCTTCCTATGCAGAAGTAAATCAATTACTTTAGCTAACTGGCAATATTCGGGTTTCATATACTGAGCGAATGTTGACCGCATTGATAAATGCTGTTACGTTTACACAATGAGCCTTGGAAGTGCGCAGTGTATGCTATGACGATTGCTTCCCCGCATTAATGACCATGACGTTGCACGCTGATTGTTGAGTGACGTCGCTAGACTTACATCGGTAATCGGTATCTTAAGCACAGCATCAGAACGGTTATATTAAAGTCTCGGACTGCTGTGTATACCTTCTCACTGTCGTCGTGCGTTCGACTGTCCGCTGGTCTTATCTAACCGCCGTTTAGCTTGTCTTATCCACCAGTCATGCTAATGTATTTTACTGCCTCCCCGTGTCACCTAATTTTGCAGCGCTGCTGTAACTGACTGGGAGTCACCGTATCCATTCCAATACCGCCTTTCTGACCGCCGAACTGCCGTGCAACACGTGTCTAACCGCTGGCCCGCCTGTCTGACCGCTGGGGCATTCCACGATAGATCGTACCAGGCCCGTCACCCTCATCTCTCAGATTTTAATGAAAATCGGTTCTAGGGGTAATCATAGGCCCCAAAGACGCCTGGCAAAATATCAGACTTCTCAGATCAAAACTTTTTGAGTTATATTGCATTACGTTTTTTTAACTTCGGTATGTAACGGTGAGTTTGATGGCCTATAACTCAAGAACGGGTTAAGCAACCAACAAAAAGTAAACAACACTAAGCTTTCGATGAATCAAAAATTAATATTACTGTTTAAAAATTCCAAAGAAAAAATTTCATTGTTGAGTTAAAACCTTAATCTTTTTTCATTTGCCTCTTATGACTTTTGGGACCAAAATTTTTCACATTTTTATTTTTTCAAAATAAACTTCATGTCATTGCAAATCGACATGCAAAAAATTAGAAAGGTGTTCTTTCTATAAGTTCCTCATTTTCCCGCAAACAAAATGGGTTTCGGAGGGGTTGATACGACCCCAGCACGCCGTTTCGCTTCTAATAGAGCTAGAGCCTCGCGGAAAAAAACGAGCGTGTGTGCCGTTACAAGTCGCAGCGATTGGCACCCGATTTTAAGGTCTCAGGTTAACCGGTAGCGTCTGAGGTCAGGTCACGTGACTGAAGTTACGGGTTCGGTTTTTAGTAAATAACTTCGCAAAAAATGGCCGCAGAGCCGCGATTTTGGCATCATTGTGTTCGCCTAGCTCAGGTGCATCGAATGGTATACTTTTTGCTTGGGTGAGGTCAACTTAAGTAGTTGACCTCGGGTCAAGGTCAGGTCAGAGCCCCTCAGGTCACAAAGCTGGGCAAAGGGTATCATATGGCATATCATTCGATTCGGAAGGTCTTCCCGAGTCCATTGGTGGCTTTCCCGACTCTCTAGCTCCATTTGATCGGGAGTTATTGACGAAAAACTCGTACGACCCTAGTGACGTCATAAATGACATCACGCAAGGTTAACAATGCAAAAGTAAAGCATTGGACTTTGCAAGGAGTGCATGAAATCACGATACCATGTACGTGGGATAGTTTTAGATCATTCTCGGAGCCAAAATAACATTTTTTATATTTCCCCATTGACTTATAACAGTGATGTCACGTGACCGACCTGACCTCATGTAACCTTGAAAAATTCCCCGATATACAAGTTGTGAGACCTCTGGAGGACACCATGTATGCGTCCTGTAACTTTCATCTCGGACAGCTATGGTCATTGGCGTCCAAAACAATGTCAGAACCAAACAGCCTTTTCACCCTCGTGCTTATAGGAAAGAGGGTTGGATTAACCCTCTTTTCACTTTTTTTCAGATGACTCAGACTTAAATTGAAATTTCAGTAACCCGTGATGTCACTAGGCAGCTTTACCACGCCATTTGTAAGCTCCCCTCCCGAAATCACTATTCGAAACCGTTATCGTGACGTAAAATAAATACATTTATAGAAAGAACACCTTCCTAATTTTTTGCATACTTCTTAACAATGAGCCAAATATTTTTTTAAAGAAATAAAAATTCAAAAAAATTGGTCCCAAAGTCCAAAAAATAGAAATGAAAGAAAACTCGATATGTCATACATAAAATAGCGTATTTTTCGAAATTTCAAAAATACATATTAATCCCTGTTTCATTGCAAGTTCAATGTTTTATAACATTTGGCATTTGAATAATCCGTCTTAGAGTTACAGCCCGCCAAACTTAGCGCTGCAAAGCAAGATCCAAAAAATGTTATACACCATAACTAAAAAAATACTTATCTGATAAGCCTGAAATTGTTACAGGTGGATTCAGAGCCCCTGATTACCCCTGAGACCAATTCTCGTCAAATTCCGAGAGATGAGGGTGTCAAATTGGAAAAAAGTGGTACGTTCTATCGTGGAATGCCCCCGCTGTCTAATGTCTGACCGTCGTCCCCCTGTATCCGGCAGCATATGATCAAGTACCGGTACGTTCCGTTCACCTGGGGCAAACCCAAATACGCCGGCGCCAACGGAACGGCTATGTAGCTGCCGCCATCACCGTGCTGGGAGAGTGCAGTGGGGGCAGAGTGCCACACGCCACGCACAGACTGCTGAGAGGACGGTGCGCCCGGCCGGCCACCCAGCCGCAGAGGCTGTCGTGACGGGCCGGCGGCGGCAGCTCGCTAACAGCGCACCGGTGTGATGTACCCCGGCCACCAGTCACAGTCAGTGCAGTCAGGTGACGCGTCCAGGGCAGAGGCGGACGGCCGGCGCCGCCCGCGGGTCGCACTCAGTGATCGGTTAGACAGACAGACTAATGACAGCGGCCACCCGGCCCGGCGCCGGGCGAGCTTCGTTTGAGTTCACCAACACGCGCGTGTTTCGCCCCGTTCACAGTGCTCAGTTTGCAATGGACGACACGGTGTGGTGAATGTGATGCCTATTTACTGCTTATTATTTATCCCAAAGAATAAATTGTGAATGGTTGGCTGGTGGTTTTATGTGTATGTAAATACAGATGGCGCCACATTCACGATACAAAGTACCCAGCACGGTTTTCTATCAAACACGGGTCAAAACATTGTCACAATGTCACATTTAGAATACGGATTCGACAAGGACACCAGCTGAACACGAGTAGGACTTCCCAGTCCCTGTGGACTGGTGACCGGGGTGGCGGGTATACGTAGGTGTCTGACCGCTAGCCGCTCCTCCAGCGTCCACTGAGAATGGGTGAGCTCCTAGTCCGCCACCACGGCACTGCACTGCTGGCCGATATTCATTCCGATATTACGCGTCCGGTCAGACCGAGCAGGAGACTACCGATGCCGCTCAGTCTTATATCAACCTTCCCCAGTGCCGCCGTCTCCATGGGCCGACTTGACCCTCTCTGGTCCCCCAGTCCCCTCATTGTCCCTGTGGCTCATCCCACAGCGGTCCTGCCAGCCTCCCCAAGACCCCCGCGCCCTAGCCCACAGCGGATCTCCCAGCCAGCTCACTGTCCATCCGACTCGGCCCGCTCACTGCCCCGTCGGCTGCTGGCCGTACCCCGGTGGCGCCTGGTGGCCCATCGGCTGCGGCTGGGGCTGCGGCTGGCCCGTCGTAGCCTGGTACGGCGGTGGGGGACCCTGCACGGCCGGCCGCGCCGCTCCGCCGGCCGCAGCAGCAGCGGCCGCGGCGGCTGCCGCAGCCGCGTGGCCGCGCTTGGCGTCCAGTTTGGCCGTCTCGTTCCTGGCGTGTCGGAGCCGGTGCCGCGCCATCTGTAGCACCTTGGAGGAGCCGTAGCTGCTACCCTCGTGCGGCTGCCCGGTGGACACCTGGGTCAGGTAGTTGATCTCGCGCGTCAGCTCGGTTTCGACGCTGTTGAGCTGTTTGAGGAAGAGTGTGGAGTGCGTCTCCACCTGTTTGATGGTAGCCTTGTCCTTGGCCAGTTCCTGCAGCACGCTGGCGGCCGTCTGTAGCACGTTGGCCAACTCTGCCTCGATCTTCTCCAGATTCTGCAGTCGCTCCGTCGGCGCCGCCATCGCTCCCGGGCGGGTCAGGCCACTGACAGATCACAGATCACGGCGGGTCCCTCTGGGGTCACTGACCGGTCACGAGCGGGCCAGTCACAGGTCACCGACAGGCCATTTAGAGGTCACCGACGGACCGATCACAGTACACCCAGCGGGCCACAGGTCAACGGCGGGTGAGCCACAGATCGTCAACCGGTGAGAGGCCGTCGAATGAGCACAAGTCACCTAATGGTCGCGGCTCATCCTGCCACGGATCACCGTAGGTTACCTGATGGTCACCTCACGTACCTAATGGTCACGTGACAGCTTTCCAGATGGCCACGCTCACTTCACGCGGCCAGGTCACAGGTAACGGTGAGTCGCCCTCCGCTTGGTGGAACCGTCCGGTCACTGGCCACCTGGTGACTGGAACAGTGCACAAACAATATTGTTAATGCTTGCCAATGTCCCAAAATTTGTCGATTTGGGTGGGAAACGACATCCAAATTAAATTCATTTTTCACTCTTACCACCAATATTTAAGAATAATTGTCCACTCCCAACCAAGAAAACTTAGGATTTTTTACCAGGAGCAGTAGTGTGGATGCCAGGTTTAGCATCAAACATTCTACACCCTAGAATAAAATACATGTTTTTGTTGTTTCTCACTCCTTTTAGATCTAATCGAATCAGCAGTTTTCTACCTCCCCCCATTTTGGTGAATATTTTTCCCCTCTGACACCCATGACAAAACTCAATTTTGGGACACTGATGCTTGCAAGGTCAAAGTTGCAAGGACAAGGTCAAGGTCAAGCCGCGAGCGCAAATGAGCTCGATGTCGGCTCGCTCGTAAGCCCAATTGATTAAGACGGCCTAACTATGCTACACTGACTGATATCACCTCCTACAATAATAATGATACAATAGACTACATACAATAGGTATATAGACTAGGGACCGATAGAGACCGCCAGTCAGCAGCGCCTGAACCGGGACCGGATACGCTAGACGCCTCTGGGACGGACGGACGGACGCAAATCTGCAACAATGACGGACGATTTCTTAGCCCGCTCGCTGAGGCTCTCAGCACGGGTTAACTCCAGCGGAACTGTCGGGGGGGGGGGGCAAGCGATGGAGAACAAACGGGGCGCCGGCTGGTGGGGGCACGAGAAGACATGTCAGCGACTGAGTACGAGCGAGTGATACCGCGCGGTGTCGTGGAGAGCGTTCCTTCCTTCCGACATGTCACCAAACCGGCCTGGCATAGCAATAAAAACATTGTCTAAAATCCCAAGTTGGCATGTATTAAAACATCAGGCGGCAGGCATTATACAATGCACATTCGCATACATGACAATGCATTCATAAAATTCGAGATCGGTCATGAGCTAAAATAAAACCAGATGCAAAACGCACTAAATAAAAAGCCAACACAGAGTCGAAACACCCAAATGGCAGTGCAGTTTACGGTCGGCCCCAGTTCACCACGGGAATGCCACGGCACATCACACAAAACAAACGCGAGAACGTCGCATCTCATGAGAAGTAAACAAGCACATGACCAAAACACTCCAGGTTCTTACAGTTACCTGTGCCTGCTCAATGAATTCAGGTTCCTGTACAATATTCATTCAACAGGGGCATTTGCAAAATACCTTTGGTAGATCATATGCTAGAGCAATACAATTGGAGCATCCCTGAAGTCTCAAGGTCTGACAATCAATACAACATGAAACCTACAGCGACACAGGCTGAGTCATTTCCTAACAGATGAGCTGTCCCTCAGGATTGCTGCCAACAGCTCCTTATCCTGCATAGCCCTGACCAGTTCAGTTTCATCCAGCATCAGGGACAGCTTGCTCAGCCTAGCCTCCTTGCTGCTCTTGATGGTGACAATGCCTCTGGCTTGCACCATCTCCATGACGCTGCAGAACTCAGACTGCTGCACTGGCACCACGTGGCGACCCTTGCACACCCGGCTGTAGGTCTCATGGAGCTTCCCCATCTGTGCCTCCTTGCTCTTACCATGTTTGAGCATCAGCAGGAGGGAGCACACAGCCAGCTTCTGGTGGATGGGGAAACTGTCCGCCCCGGCCTCACACTGCTGTACTACAACATTCTCATACACCTCATTGAACACCTGCAGAATCACAGCTGGTCCCACTACTCCAGAGGTTGGCTTCTTTGGAGTGTCAGTCATGTCAATGTTCTCATCTATGTCTAGGAGCAGCTGACGTCTGACCTTGCGCTCGACCACCTCCACTGCCCTGCGACACACAGCCAGGGCCTTGCGGGCATCACCGGCCACCGCAGCCACCTTCCCAGCCAGCAGGTGGACGGCTGCTGAGGTAACCACTGTGTCACTGTTGGGCACCTTAGCCAGCCGAGCTGAGATGATCTCCACAATGTCCTGCTTGCTGTATGGAGGGAAATGGAGCAGGGTTGGCCGGACCTTCACGTGAGCTGTCAGACGAGGCAGGAGCCGATCAGTCAGATCTAGGGAGTTCGCTATTCCGATCAGAACCAGTTTTGAGTTCTTCAGCATTGGCCAGCCAAAAATGGTGTACAAGATCTCCTGATTCCGGCCCTCTAGATGATCAATTTCATCAAGAATAACCAAAATCATTTTGCTGCCACTGACGAGCTTCTTCTCTAAAGCTTTAATGGCTTCATTTTCTTTCATGGTAGTCTGCCTACCACTTGCACACAGCTTTGATACAAGATGATTGTAGATAGCATTAGTGGACTGCAGAGACATGCAGTTTACCCACACTTTCTTCACATCATCGACATCGGCCAGCACTTTTTGAAGACAAGCAGTTTTACCTGTGCCAGGCGCACCAGAAATGTACATGCTTCTTGCCTGCTTTTGAGAGACAGATTCAGCAATAAATTCCCTGATGTCACTTGTTTGCCTTCCTCTACAGAGCAGCTCATCTGGAGCTGCGACATTGAGGACCTCACTGACTGCCTTATGCACTCCGGTGTTTGCAGCTGAGAGTGCGAGTTTTCTCCTGCTTGAAGACCCTGTCTTCTTGGCAGGTGAGAGCTTTGCAGGTGACAGTTTCAGTGGTGAGGGAGGCACTGACTGGGGCCTTTTCTTTGGACTCAGCTGCAGCGGGGAGAGTGTCATCCGGCCGGGAGACTTGACAGGCGACGCCGGAGCCGGGACACGGCGAGCCTTTCTGGTTCTCGTTCCCAGCATTGTTAAAGCGTGTGGTCAAACGTCTTCGAATATAATAGTATTGAAAGTCTTCCTAATAAAACCAAAAACCACCACAATGCACCTCAGACGCAAGAAACAACAAGACGCCGCACCACCACAGCTGATAGGCGGAGAACGCGCGCCAATTTACCGCCAAGTACTTTTGTGTACAATAGGGAAGGGCCCGGTGCAAGTACTTTCAATAAACACAATTTATCGGTAATTTTCGGAAGTTTCAAAACAGTCAAAAATAAAAAAAGTAGTCAAAAAGTAAGGCAAAACAGTCAAAAAGGCAAATGCAGTACCAATAAATGCTTAAAATTAGAAACACATCGTCAGTATAAATTATGGTATAAATACTCGACGGCATGGCAGGCCGAATTCCATCACTAGCCTAGCGTAGTATTTTATTTTTCACTACGCGTGGGAGATTTTCAGCACAAACTGAGCTGATGGTAGCGAACGGCGCGAACGGGAGGCTAGCTAGCAAAACCATAATCAGTGGCGGATCCAGGGGGGGGGGCAAAATGGGCATTTGCCCCCCCCAAACGGCATGATTTTAACATTACGCCTATGGGCGATGCATGGAAAGAATCGATAAATTTTTATGGTTTGCCCCCCCCAAACCTCTGAGCTGGATCCGCCTCTGACCATAATTCAGGCATTTGTATTGAAAGGGAGGTTGTGACCAATATACTCTGGTTGTGACCAAATGACTTATGACAATGGTTGTTGCCCCGGGCGGCGGGGATAATGTAGAGGAGGGTATGGCCGATGCAGGGATCTGCCACTCGGCACGGCAGCGTATTGCATATAACTAAGGAGAATGGTCTCTAGTGGTTTAACTGAGAAAATTACAATCGATCCGTCACCCTACACCACATCGTTGGGTTCATATGACCTCATAAAGATCACCAGTTGCAACAGCCGGATGAAAGGGAGAAGTCAGGCCGCTGACCAGCTTGCTGTGGCTATTACAGATACAGTTACAGCTGGATGTCGTAATTATCAGTTAGAACGCTGCAGCGGCTGCAACTGGTCTGGGCATACAGCTATGCGTCGTGCGCAACTATCGTGATGTGGCGCTTGACACAATCTGGGAGGTCGTTCACGTAGACAACAAAGAGCGTCGGCCCCAAGACCGAGCCCTGCGTGATGCCGCTCACGACAAGGTGTTGGATCGAGCTTGTTCCATTGGTTGCCACTCCGACCTCGACCAGTGAGGAACACCTCGATCTATTTGAGCACCGGGCTTTGGATCCCGCAACCATTCAGCTTCGCAATCGTGCGAGCAGAGCAGGCGCTTGTGCGAAGCAGAATCGAAAGCCTACCGGGAGTCTAGGTACAGGCAGGCAATGTCGACAGGCTCTCCACTCTCCAGCTGCCGAGTCCAGTCCTCCAGGGCGGAGAGGAGGTAAGTAGCGCGCGATCCCTTCGAAAAAAAAAACAATGACGCCCATGCTGGGCGTCATTGAGCTGTCCAGTCTCCTCTGTAAGGAACTCCACAATTGTGTCCCTGACTATGCACTCCAACACCTTCAGTATCACTGAAGTCAGGCTGAAAGGTCTGCAGTTTGGTATAGCTCCTATCTACAACCACCCTTGAATATCGGGAAAATAGTTCCCAGCCTCCACTCATCCGGAAGAGAGCCACTGATAAGGCACTTCTGGGACAGAGAGCGAACAGGAGGGCTGATTGCGGCTGCAAGTTCTCGCAGGGCCTCAGAGAGGATCCCATCAGGACCAGGGATAGTGATTTGTTTGTTTGTTTATTGGGTCATTTGGGCGCGCCGACTGCCAAGATCATTATGCGCCCATAACGTCATAATAGTCAAACAAGTGTGTCACGACAGGAAACCAACTAGATACAAGGACTAAAAAGCCAGACTAGATAAAAGAGCAAGGAAGGATAAAATAACGAAAGCGCCTTGTAACAGACAACTGACTAGAGAGGACTAGATGGATTGGGGTCAGGTCGTGTAAATCACTCCGAATTTGATTGATCGGATAAAGGTGAAGATGTTGCCGGATAAAACCCAGGGTGACTCGTCACCCCGTAGGTGGCGGATAGATCGCAGGCCCCACTCTGCCTGTCATTGTGAGAGACCAGGGAAAGTGGGTGGACCAGTCTGCGTTGAATCCCTAAGTAGCATTCAACGAACATATGCTCCAGAGTTTGTCCTTCCTGTGAATATGCCATAAAAGGTATGCTGGAATAGTCTTCCCAGGTTACCTTCCAGATTTGTCAGTTGTCAGTTGTCATCCTAGGTTTCCCAGGTCTCCTAGGTTAGCTAAAAAATAATCAGTCTTTCTAAGGTTTTCAATGCCAGGATTAGTTTTTTTACCTTTGGCTTTATATTATCTTTGAGCATGTCAAAGAGGGTTCCCTCAAACATCTACTTCAGTTGCCTGGTGAGGCTACTCAGGTCATCACTTGTACGGACACAATGTTTGTAGAACCCAAGGTCTTGGATTTCCACATATTTCTACGAGTTTAGGTACCTACTTTTCTAATTTCTAAGAACTTTTCTAAAGTAGACATTCTTTCACTGATAAGATCGACCATGATCTCAATCACTATCACCTTGACGTTCTCAGTCGCCATCACCTTGATGGTCTCGATTGTGGTGCTCCTTCGTTTCAGCAGGACTGACTCGTACAAGCCTCACAAGGACACTGTGAAGGTCACTTGTCATTTTTGCATAGTTTACCTTGCTTAGATTCAGCTTGGCTCCATAGTTGCCCTCTCTTGATGTGGGCATTGTCCAAAAATTATGTACAGGAGATGCAAGTGGGTCAGCTAGGGCAAATTTGGCTTTATAATTTACATTGCAGTTTTTAACCTTATGACAAGTGAAGATTTATAAATTATGTAGCAAATACTCAAATATATTAGCAAATACTCAAATATATATTTCGGTCGCCCTACTGTCATGCCTTGCTGCAAAGTTGACAGGCAAATACCTAACTCATTTCTATTACAATTATCAGAAATGTCACACCGCTTGCACGCAATACCACACTTAGTTTTTAATACGTAAGATTTTAAGGATGCTTACCTTGACAGGACAATCCGGCAGTCCCTAAACTCTACAAGTTAAGACGGTTTTGCTGCAAAAATCACAAAAATCAATCGTAATCTAATAATAATGTTGTTGTTGTTCTGGGTTAGGGCGCGTAGCAGCTTGGCTCTTGCGTCCAACATCTACATCTAATAATAACCAAAATAACATCTAATAATAATGCCAAACACAAAACTTCTAAATGTTTGCGTCACATTGTAACTTCTACGTCGTAAATGTAAAAAGTCGTGCATAAAACCTACTACGGTTAAAACCTACTACCCTGTGTCGACCGCACATTTGTCCCCACGGCCCACGCCCCACGGCCAAATTTGCGTGCGGGAAATGGGTAATTTGGCTGGGACTTGAGGATAAGATTATTTCTGGTAATTGCAGACATCTTTGCCTTGAACCTCCCTTTCCTGGTCCTTTGCCATCATGGTCACACGCGGACTAACTTGCACCAGCACCAGCAAATATACCTAGGTATTGCACTTCGGGCTAAATTAGCAAAGTGATCTCGCTTAGCAGTCAGCACTAAGCATTTACTGCGAAAACCGCAAGATCGCCGTTTTCCCAGTCCATAACCACCTGGCGCAGCGAAGCAAGGCCATCTGTAGTGTAGTCCGACATTCCATGGCTCACGGCTTATTCTCAGCAAATCGCACAATCTGTATCAAAATGTTTATTTTGGCTTCAGTCGCACCACGTCGACCATCGTCAGAGCTGTGAGTCTGCCTCGCGCCGCCGCCCGCTCTCACGGGCAATCGATCGCTACTATATATCTATTCAGCTTCGCATATGGTAAGCGCGGGCACCTTCCAACAGCTGTGGGCCGCCGGCGCCGGCCCACGCGCCCCGTCCCCGGAGCAGCTCTGGGCCGCCCACACGCGCGGCGGGACCTACCGGGGGCGCGGTCACCACTGGGCGGCCTTAGTGCGTTGGTGACGACCGACACCACTGGGACCCAACAACCCCAAATACAATCAATCATACAGCCATTGTGCGCAACGTAACAGGATGCGCTAGATATATATCTGCTTCAACCTATATACCATGTACAGAGGGTGTCCGATGCAGTGTTACGACATACGCCGCTTAGTATCGGCTCTACTGCCGATTTGATACGGTAACTCCTTGGGAAAGTCGACGGATATCACTCACAACGATAATTAAAAGCGCGCTAATTCCTGCACACCTTGTGCATCTAGCTCGCGTTGGACGTGACACAGATATAGACTATTCGAGTGTTTCACAACAAATCATGAAACCTAAAGCTGAGCGGGATCTTGTGAGGCTGCCACGGCGTCAGCTGGTCCTCTCCCAGCTGAAAAAAATACCCCCACCCGTCGACAACTCACATTGCACGCACACACTCACGCCGTTCACAACACTTCGCCGGCGGTCAGCTGACCGGGCTGGCTGCTGCTTGGGCGGGCCGTTCAGACGGGCCTCGGCGCACAGCCCGTTCGCAGAGAATGGGCCCGGTGCGGGCTGGTCTGGTGGCCTCCCGGGGAGCCGAGTGACCATCGTCCGGTCGGACCGCATGCCGTCAGGCCGGACACCACCACCATCCCTCCGTCAGGGCATATCGCCGTCTACCGGCCTGCGGATAACCATCGTGCCTGCCTACCCAGCTCACCCCGACACATCGGGCCAGCGACTAGCCGCCACGGTCGGCGAGCCAGCCTGCCACCTTCGGCCCGCGGCTGACCCCCGTGCCTGCCTCCCTGGCCAGCCCGCCACCTCGGGCCAGCGTCTAACCGCCGCGCCGCCCTCTCCCGCCCGCTCCGGTCCGCCTACAAGTCCTGCGTCACCACGTAGTGTACGACGCCGGCGAAGAGCACGAAGCCGGCCATGACGATCAGGTTGCTGAGCGCGGCGCCGAGCCCCGAGTGGGCGTCGGCGGCCGAGCGGCGCGCCGGAGGGCCGCCGGCCGCCTCCTCCGCAGACTCGGCGGCCGACTCCCGGCGGCGGGCCAGAGTCGCCTGGATCTCCTGTGTGGGGGAGACGGGCGGGCGCGGTCAGCGGATGTGACTGCAGCGGCTTATTGGTCAGCGGCTTAGCGACTTATATAATTCAGGAAACCAGCTCACAACAGGGGAGAGGGAGGTCATAAGACGTGTCAGCGCAGTGAGAGCCCTTACATAGAGAAGAAAATAATAGGTGAGCGTCTGAAAAATAAAGCACCGCATTTCAATTTGTCTGACGGGAAGTCAAGATGAGCAAAGAAAACGAAAACACGATAAAATTTAACGAGGCGAAGGCCAGGTTACTTCAAACAAAGCACAAAAACAACAAAAGAGAAATCAAGGAACAGAACACTTCACCAGTCACACCAGTCTTCACACCAGTCTTCACCACCACACATCCCACTGTTCGAATAAGTCAGCAGTCAGCACTACCACAGCGTTTTGCGTAGCACGTATACCAGCCACACACTGCCCCAGCCTACCCATTTCCCCCGGCCTCCCGGGCCTCTGACCTGGACGTCGTCGGGGAACAGTTCACAGAAGGTGGCGTCGTTGAGGTTGTACTGCAGGCTATGGTGCGCGTAGATGCGCTTCTCGTAGTCAGACGTCTCGATGCTGCCCACGGTAGGCGACACCTCCAGCTGCAAAGACCGGACCGGTGAGTCAGTGGGATTACATGAGAGCACCGCAGTCATTCCGCTGCCTCGATAAAAAACACGAAATCAAGAGCGTATGTTACAAACAAAATGTTTCTTACGCAAAAATAACAAACAATTAACAATAGCTTAATTAACAAAAGTTAAACAATAGTTTGACAAGATCAACCAAGTAAACATTAGATAGCATCATCTCTCAATGTAAACGCAAACTGCAAGGTTATAACAATGTAATGCGGTAAAAGGGCGCATCTATGTATAGCAGGATAACAACTAATGCTAACTAAATATTGACAAGCAGAGTACACCTACCGAGCAGAACCGATGGCTCCGGAAAAGACGATGCCCAGTGCCCACTAACCTCAGAGAAACTGTTATGAGTTATTGAGTGATAACTATAATAATTCAATCACGACCGCAAAAGTTAGTGGAGCGACTGACCATGAAGCTGAGCAGGCCGGTGAGGATGGTGGACACGCTCCAGCTGGGGTTCCAAGTGTCCGGGTGGAAGTCGCTGATGGACAGACACAGACGCGTGTTCGGCTTGAAGCGCCCGTTCGGCGTGATCATGTAGATGCTCGGCGGCCGGAACGGGTACTCGACCGGGAAGCGCAGCATGCCATGGTACAGGCCGCCCGCGTACGGGGTGCCCTCCGGGCCGCGCACGATGTAGTGCCTGGGTGAAACGGGGTGGGGCAGGGGAGGGTTAGTTTAGCCTTTCCTCAGGACCACAAACAAGATAGCGCATGTAGGGTGGCCAAATGCCAATGACTGGCTTGCTGAATGTAAATGATTTTTCGGATGATTTTACAATAATACGATGAGTGCGGCAGGGGAGCTGCACCCACAGGGCAAATGAGCTACCACAAATCGTAAACAAATGCAGGGTTCGAAGTAAAGCTTTTGCATGACGTTTCGTGATGACCGAAAACGGGAAAGACACAAACATTGTGAAAGGCGAAAATGCAATCTTATTCGCTTGTTCTGATAGACAATTAATTACGATGTTAATATATTGGACGGTTCAGCGAAGATACAGCCAAAATATTTTGGGATTACGTCCTGACTGGGCACACACCATTCGAGTATGTTTGATGGAAGTGGCTCGGCTGATATGTAGGGAACCGGGTCTGTCTTCAGGCGCATGTAGTCCCGCCGGAGACGGACCAGCGCAGTGTTATTCTGCAGTTTCTTGCCCATCCCACCTGAAACATGGCATGCACAACAGTAAGTATAGCGCTGAATATATTGTTAGCATCTGAGTCATAAAAGCAAATACTATCATAATCCCTTATCTACTGGATCAATATAAGTATTTCACTATGTACTAACTTGCGCAGTGAGCACAGATACTAACTAGATGCTTACAGTGCATCATATTTCCATGCCTTTGTAGATAAAATCATAAAACATTTCAGTCCAGGCCAGGAAATGAAACTCCCTTGTTGAATAACGCCCGAAGAGCATAAGCAGACACGATCCGTTCCTTTGTTCCTTCGTTCCGGAATGCCGTTACAATCTTCAAGAATTGAGGAACGAACTTGTTGCATTTGAGGAACGGACTTGTTGCATTTTGAAAAATGTAATGCTTTCGTTACACGGACCATACCACCTGATGGTGGGATGGTCGGTGTTCCTCCGTGAAAATCTAGTCCGGTCCTCCGTTTTTCCGGTGGTCGGTTACTCGTCTTTATCCGAGAGGGTTGATCTAATGGAATCACCACTCACCAGATATTGTGCCAGCGCGAGAGAATGGATTATGTTTACAAAGATCTCCTAATCCGAGAATCACCGGTTATGGGTCACACAACTCATTCCAGCTCATCAATCACAGGGGACGTTACTTGTCGTAGCCTTTCGGTCCCGGACTTGTCACCCGCTCCAGGCCGCCAGTCACAGACAGCCAGGGCTCGTAACCTGTTCCTAACCTAAGTCATGGGGGCTGGGGCATGTCTCTCGTCTCAGCCGCCAGTCCCCCATCGCAGCCTGACAGTCACAAGCCTGACAGACAATCCAGCCCACCCTCAACTTGACCCAAACCACCTGCTCCTCGTCCTGTGTCCTGTGGCATTTCCTGTGTCTGTTTCAGTGGATTTAGCTGGTGAACTGCTGTTTCTCTGGCCTTCCTAGCTGGCTGTCTACTGTTATCATACTTTCGGTTGGTGGTCTGCTGTCTCACTGGTTTAAATTGGAGATTTGATTTGTCTCAGAGATATGTTGAATACACATGACTCAAAGTCTGCTTTCTCTGTTCTCATGAAGTATCAACCAATGCAATTAACTAACTTACAATACATTATGTTCATAGAAACTTAGCCAATGAGAAACAGAAGCTGCATTTTAAAGGGACCCTCCCACCTTCAAAAAAGTTTATGAATTGGCATGAAAGTGATGTCGCTCGGTTCAGAAAGAGCGAAAACGAATATCTACCAAATTTCACCCAAAAATATTCACCGGTTTTCAAGATATTAGACTTTTACTTTTGTTTACTTTTTGGGATCTCCGCTGTTCCTAGCGACTTTATTTGGAAGCAATAGTTTGGCAGCTGAAAGTGCGGCACTTGTTGCGCGCAAAGCAGCATATACCACTGCGTGCTACAAAACGTTTTAGTCAAACATTTAAGATCGTTAGATATCTGCACTGACGTCACACATTCAGAGGGGTATTCCTATGCATTAGCCCCTCTGAATCAAAATGCTGCAATTTTGAAATTCATTATTTCCGATTTAAGGCATTTCTCGATGTTGTGAGTGCTGAAACCGGTAATTGTGAGCCAGGGACCCCATTTTGGCTAACTCAACTCAAATCTAATGTTAAGGTGGGAGGGTCCCTTTAATGCAAGATGAAAAATAAGCAGTAAAGTTACTGTTTTCAGAAACAGTGCCCATCCTATGCTTGCTGGGTTGAGGGCCAGGGATATAGCCAGAAATTGGTAGCTCATAGGAGGCTGGATAAATTGCACCTTGTGACTGCCCAATGCATCTTGCTGTTGCTGCCACGTCATGTTCTCAGCCAAACAGAACCAATTACAGGTGGATCAGAATAGAGGGTATATTGCAAGAACCTGCCAGTACCCACTCTCCAGGAGCACCTTCAAATGAACCAGATGGGCCACAGAGCCAGAAATACTCACCTCTATTTGATTTCTGCAATTTTCAATTTAAACAAAAAAAAATTACTGAAATTAAGTAAAAGCACACTTTCCATCTGCATCAAGCAATTAAGACAAATAATAAAATAATATAATGACAAGGGCATAAATACACTTGAAAACACAGATCACTTGGTACTTGGTAGTCACATTTTCTGACAATTTCAACTTGAAACTTGAACTGAAACTCATTCTTACGCAATGCATTTACAATCTAGTCTAGATCTCTACAACCAGCAAAGGAACACATTGGACCTATCCATTAACATGATTAACAGAGTTTATGTAAGCTGTGCTGTCTAATGTTCCCCTGTTTTATCACAAATAAATGCAGTTCCATTCCATTTTATCTAAACTTGAACTGTCCATCCACCATATGATGCAGAAATGCGATGCATTGATTATCCTTACCGCCGAGTCACACTTATAAATGAATTCAGGGGCTGAAAAAGTCTTTTAAATTCTCTTTCTTGACTGATTCCGAATGGTTACGGAAATTATCAGCGATTATTAATCAAATTTTATCCTAACTTTAATTATAACACACAACGCTGCGCACAATCGCGCCACAAAAGCAACAAAACAAAACGGGCAAGGTTTAGGAAAAACAAGTCCAACGTCTTACGTGCATCTACTTCGTGATTACCTACGTCACTGGCTCTTATATGGCCCTTCTTGTGTCGGTAGAACTTGGGTAGGACGTTGGGTATCTTGGCGCCAAAGCATGGCGACTGACGACACATATGTGTAGTTTTAGAGTCCTTATATCATATTTTAGCAACAGTTCAAAAGTTTGGGCTAGATGCGGAGGATAAGCCATCATTCACTCGGAATCAGCAGATCATGCTTTACTACAACCTGAAATTTAGCCCTGGAATGAGTACTATAAATTATCCGCCTAATTTTAGGCAAAAAATGGGTTCACCCTAATTTCGGTGCATAGCATATACCTTACAGTTTTATTTTAGTTGATATTGAGCTGACTGCTATGGAGAGCTGCCTTTCCACAAAATCAATAAAACAGCACATGAGCACTACTAACATGTATTCGACGCCTGTGGAATGAAACAATTTGACAGAAAAGTGTCAGACAAATGTCCAGCAGCCACCCGAATCGTCCCCAAGGTGTGTTGGCATGATGCAAAGTCCGGTTGGGTGACGCCACAGGCTCGTCGCAAACCGCCGCGTCGCGCTAGAAGCTGATGAAGATTCACTGTACAGTAAATGGCCCTCCCGCAGCAAATGACGACTGTGTAGAACCGGTGGCGATCAATAGAAGTCCCCCCGAGGAGGACGGCCACCCCGAGAGCGGCCCCGGTCACCACCGCGCCACCCGCCTCCACCGCCGCGCTCCTCGTCCCGGAAACCGCCGCCGCCGCGTCCCCGGAACCCTGCCCCGCCCCTGCCGCCGCCCCGCCTGCCCTCCTCCTGAGCACCCCCGCCCCGACCACCACCCCGACCCCCGCCCCGCCACGAGTCATCCTGGGGAGGGCCACCGCCTCTCCAGTTATCGTCCTGGGGAGGCACCCCGCCCCGGCCCATCCCGCCTCCGCCGCCGCCGCGCCCGCCGCCCCTGTTGATCCAGCCCTCCTCCTGAGGAGGCCCTCCTGCCCCGCCGCCACTCCAGCCGCCGTCCGGTGGCGGCGGTCCTCCTGCTCCACCCCTCCAGCCGTCGCTGGGAGGGGGGCCGCCGCCCCGCCCGCCCCCGCGGCTCGCCCAGACGCCGTCCTGCGGCGGAGGAGCACCGCCGCCGCCCCTCCACCCGTCGTCCCGCGGAGGGGGAGGCCCGCCGTCCCGCGCCCGCCATCTGTCGTCCGGCGGCGGCTCGGGCCTGCCGTCCCTCCAGGGCTCGTCTCTGGGCGGCCCTCCGCCGCGGCCGCCGCCCCGACCCCGCCAGCTGTCCTCCTGGGGCGGGGGTCCGCCGCCGCGGCCGCCGCGGCCCATCCAGCCGTCCGGCGGACCGGGTCGGCCGTCCGGCGGTCCGGGCCGGCCGTCCTCTCTGTCTCGGGGGCCGTTATCGAAGCCAGGTCGGCCGCCGTCGAAGCCAGGTCTGCCACCATCAAAGCTAGGCCGGCCACCGCTATCGAAACCCGGTCTGTCGACGCCGCCGCCTCCGAAACCTGGCCTGTCGTTACCGCCTCCGAAACCTGGCCTGTCGTTACCGCCTCCGAAACCTGGCCTGTCGTTACCGCCTCCAAAGCCTGGCCTGTCGTTACCGCCTCCGAAGCCTGGCCTGTCGCCTCCGAAACCTGGCCTGTCGCCTCCGAAACCTGGCCTGTCGCCTCCGAAACCTGGCCTATCGCCTCCGAAACCTGGCCTATCGCCTCCGAAACCTGGCCTTTCACCTCCAAAGCCTGGTCTATCGCCACCAACACCACCTCCGAAGCCTGGTCTATCGCCGCCAACACCACCTCCAAAGTCTGGTCTATCACCTCCAAAGCCTGGCCTATCGCCTCCAAAGCCTGGTCTATCGCCTCCAACCCCGCCTCCAAGGCCTGGCCTATCATTGCCGCCTCCGAAGCCTGGCCGGTCCCCACCATCCCCTCCAAACCCTGGACGGTCCCCGCCGCCCCTTCCGAACCCTGGCCGATCTGCACCGCCGCGGAAACCACCCCTGAAACCGCCACGGTCCCCACGGAAGGGCGGCCGACCCCGGCCCGGCGGCCCGCCGTCGTGTATGCCGTTCGGCGGGTCCATCTGCATGCTGTTGTCGTCTCGGCCCCAGTCCCTGTCGCCGTGGCCACCCCGCCCCGGCGGCCCGGGGCCGAATCGGCCGCGCCCGCCGCGCATGTCGCGGTCCGGATCGCCGCCGACCGGCCGCATGTCGGCGTCCCGCGCCGCCTGGTCCTGGTCGGGCCGACGGTCATCGGCGTCCCTCGGACGGCCGTCCCTGCCGAAAACAGGAACGGGTCAGCGCTGGTGTGAGTACAGAGCTGCAGCATAGACATGAGGTGACATAAGGCATAAGGCAAAGGTATCAGCGAGATGGGCGACGCAGCCGGTCAATGTCAGGATCAGCAAACGGAGCAATCAGGTAAAAATCATATGAAAAGAGAACGCGACAATAGTCGAGGCTTACAGACATGGTTACTATCAACACAATGAACAGGTTCAGCTAGCGTAAAGCAAACGAGGGTACAGCAGAATATCGCAACCGCTCAAGGTAAGCTGACCTCCGCTATCCCTTGCGGCCCCCTCGGCAGAGGGGCGCCGCCGCCCACTGCCCTAATTCGAACACCGACTGACCTGTCCTTGATGTCCTCCCGGTCGCGGTCACCGGGCGGTCGGAACGCACCTCTACCTCCGCGGCCCCGCCAGCCGCCGCGGCCACCGCGCCACCCGCCGGGTCCTGGTCCTGGCCACACGCAGATGACAGAAGTTCATAATACGGGGTAGGGATGGAATTGATGCCGGGTGGCGATTGGAGAGCTATGAGTAAGGGACGATGGTTGACTAGGCCTGTGCGATGTCATCAGTTGAAATCTGGATTCAAAAAGCTTGGCTGCGCCGACAAATCTTTCGGTATACGATAAATATCACGTAGTTTAGTGGTGTACATTGCACAATATTAAAATCTGCCGGAACTCGGTAACGAGATTACACTAAAAGGGCTCATAAGAGATAATATAAAGAATCGTGAATTATCCAGAAAAAAAAACATCAGATGCACCGTTTCTCTAGTGCCCACAATGCAGCACCGCACCATCGTACTTGGCCGCCCGGCCTGCCTGCCCGCCCTGAGACCAACCTTTGTCGTCGCCGACGGTGGAGGGGTCCTCCTGATGCAGCCAGCGCTCGTTCCAGTGACTGGCGAATTTCCACGGCGGCCGGCGCTGCGCGAACCGCCGGTCACCGTCCGGCCCGGGCGGTCCGCCGGCGCCGGGCGCCCCCTCGCCCGGCGCCGGACCCTTTCCGGCGCCCTCCTGGCCGGCGGGCGGCTCCACGCGGTCCTCGGGACCCATGCCGGGGATGAGAGGAGCCTCCGAGCCGCCAGCGGACGAGTCGGCGCCCTCCTCAGCTGTCGGATAGAACGGGGTTCGTTCGCAAACTGACAGATGCTGGTAGGGCGCAGCGGCAGGGCACACGAACAACCATCCCGTAGAGAATACCGCACAGTCCATCGTCACCCATCGGTAGGTACGTTATTTGTCGCTCTATTCCCCACATTCACACGATGTCAACCAGCTCTATTCCAGCTCTAACCAGATCTATTCACAGCCACGGTTATGCGATTGAGTAAGAGTGAGCATGCGTATGCGAGTGTGAGAGAGAGGGAGAGAGAGAGAGAGAGAGAGAGAGAGAGAGAGAGAGAGAGAGAGAGAGAGAGAGAGAGAGAGAGAGAGAGAGAGAGAGAGAGAGAGAGAGAGGCAGAGCCAGCCAGCCAGACAGACAGACGAAGCTAGGAGAATGGAGAGACTAGTCAGCCCCACCTGTCTGCGCAGTATCCTCGGAAGTGGAGGCGCGCCGGCCGCCCGGCAGTGGGCCCGTGTCCGCGCCGTCGGCGATGTTCAGGTTATACTTGTCCTGCATGGTGTCACCGGGCCTGTTGCGCGTCCAGAACTTGGTGGTGTGGTCATTGGAGCCCGAGGCGAGCACGTGACCCAGTGGGTGCCAGGACATGGACCAGATGAGCGAGTCATGCGCCTGTTCGATACAGCCCACCTCCTTGTCGCAGCTACAAAGGAGAGGCGAACAAGAGCCAAGAGGGGAAGTCATGCCTCTGTCAGGGTATGAGTGTCGAACAACCATCGCCACTGGTGATTAGAGTGATCGGTGTAACTAGATTCGGTGGCACGTTCGATTTTAACAAACGAAACGAAGTGCGCATTTTTGTGACGAAAGATAAGATATAGCAAATAAAAAAGGTCATTTCATTCGAAGGCAAATAGAAACTTCAACAGAAAGCACCTTAACTTATCCTATACATAAACATTAAACAAACACATACAGTACACCGACAATAACCGGAGCATGAGTGACCCCGACAATGGCTCCGCTGCGCCCGGCCGCACGTGACTGACCCGACGTTCCAGAACATGAGCGAGCCGTCCGATCCGCCGCTGGAGAAGAGCGTCTCGTGGATCGGGTGCCACGACAGACTGGCCGCCTCACGCTTGTGGCCACGGAACACCTGTCAACAAACGGGGTGAACCGTGAGGTATGGGCATTGGGCGATGAAAATAAAACAGCTGCTAACTCGGTGGGCAGCAGACATAGCGTGACGTCTGACGAATGGACTGTATCCGAGGGCTTCGCAGGGTAACGGTTAAGGCTACGAAGTATAGCAGAAACTCCGTGAACTCCATCCCATAGCGCCGTGAGTTGTGTTAGCTCATAACTTTGTGAGCTTCGTGAGCGACAGACACTGGCAGACGGTGAGACCGCAGCTGATGCCCCGTGGCTCAGACCCACCTGAACCTCCTCGGACAGATTACGGATGTCGAACAGCTTGATGAGGTGGTCTCTGGAGCCGGTGAGCAGCCAGTTACCGTTCCTGTTGAACTTGAGGTCCATCACCGTCGACTTGTGAGCGTGTCTGACGAAAAAAAAAAACGGACACACAAAGCAATTAGGTGCTGGATTGACGGTCAAACGACGGGTAGAAAACGATGGGAGATGTCAGAGGGCACTAGCATCGCTGCAGTATGAACCGAACCCTGTCCTCAACCGGTCGATGAGTACTTTCCTTCTTAAGGGGACAGCGGACAAGTCAGACAATATCGTACGCATGTACATTGTACGTTGTACGTTCAACTCGTTACCAATAAATGCTGATTGACTTCAAGCGTCTACGTCACTTCATAGAAGTGCCGTGTCAAGGTCCATCTAGACACGTGTCCTACGCGAAGTGGCTGAAACCGAAGTGTCTACCCCTCGCACGGTAACCAGGCTCTACCCCGAGCCGGTACTCACAGCGTAGGCGACGTTCAGACGCTTTGTACTGTGTACCTATTCAATTAAGGGAATTCAACCCCGGGCCGGTGCTCACAGTGTATTCTACCCTGGGCCAGTACTCTGTGTATTCTTCCGGGGCCGGTACTCACAGTGTTGCCAGGCTCTGGCCGCTCTTGGGGTCCCACAGCCGCACCGGCTGCTGGTTGTCCTTGCTGCCCGACACCACCAGACCTTTGTACGGGTGCCAGTCGCAGCACTTGACGTCCGCGCCGTGACCTGGGGGTCAGAGGTCGCCGGTCAGGTCACGGAGCGCCACAGGGTCGTCAGTGACAGCAGACGGAACACGAAGGTGGACAACGAAGTAAGTGTACGTATGTACAACGGACGAAACAGGAAGTGGCGGCGACAAGAGCGTCCCTAAATTAGATATAGCTGTATCCAATATCCACATTTATCAGTGAAGGCTGCAGCCACCGAAGATAAAATGTAGGTTATGGGCGCGGTAATGGCTTATGAAAGTCTAACATACGAGTCGGCATTTTTGCGTGATTGAATGACATTTAAGTTTATCAGAAAGAAGAGCACCCGCTAAGCTCAACGGAGCAATGCGAGGCAATAACAATCGCGATGACCAGTGTTCAGTCGCAAAAAAACTAAACCACACACAATAGCTATAAATGATCGCCCGTGCAAATGCACTGCATACTGCACGGGCGAGCGTCCTCACCACCCGGACGGTGGCGGAAACGCGAACCTTTAGTTACCAGCGCCACCGCCGGAGAGTGCTGCCATTTCAACTGGACCATGTCATCGGGAGATAATGACGGTCGATAATGCATACTTATGCAATATGCAAGCAGACATTGTCGCCCCAACTACGATCCGAGTCGTCAACGTCCTTACTTCGTCACTCCACTTTGACCGTCGACATGAAACAACTACGGAAAAGGACGGGAAAGATGTTCTGGCACAACTTGTCCTGTCATTTTTTCGTGATTTGTAAGCATTGCACTTCTCGAGCCAGTGAGCAGCTCTCCAGCGCACTACATCCCCCTAACCCCGCCGGCTGTCCGGCTGACCCTGTGACCCGTTACGTGACCTCACCTCTGAGCACCGACTGACCCCGTGACCCGTTTCGCGACCTCACCTCTGAGCACCGACTGACCCCGTGACCCGTTTCGTGAGCTCACCTCTGAGCACCTTCTCCTCGTAGCAGCGGATGAAGTCCCAGATGCGCACGGTACCATCGTCAGAGCAGGTGCATAACTTGGTGTCGGACGGACTGAAACTGGAGATAAAAGCGCGCCGTTCATTGACCGTACATCACACACAGATATCCAACTGTCCGCGACCCAATCGGCGCCCAGCGAATTCAACATTTTGAGCCTGACTTTGAATGGTGAAATGGTCAACAGCTCATACTAAGGGATGGGGGACATAACCGTGCCATGCCAAAGCATAATTTTGAATGGTGAGCCAGCCTCAACACAATTTCGAGGTTGATTCTGGTTTCTGGAAAGTCATGAGGTAATCGAATAGCGCGTCATCGCTCGTCATTAGTATCTACATCAGGGCGAGAGGCATGCATTAAAACCACAAACTTTTTGTGGTGCAGTATGTTCGTTTGCCCCCCCTCCCCCCCTCCCACACGTGCTTCAACCCTCGCCAGACATACAGACATACCAGTTACCTTCATAAGCCCTGGCTGAGGGACAAGGAATCCCTTCGTCATTTGGTCCCTTATTGAGCTAGAGCCTCGCGTAAGAAACGAGCGTGTGTGCCGTTACGAGACGCAGCGCTCGGTACCCAATTTTAAGCATAGGCGGCGGAACGGGGAGGGCACCGTGCCCCCCCCTTGATTTTGACATTTTACCATTAGCCCTATGGGCGCTGCATGGAAAGAAAAGGACCAAAAGTGGGCAGTGCCCCCTCCCCCCTTAATTGAAGGTGTTCCGCCGCTACTGATTTTAAAGTCATAGCTACTCCGGTGACCTCTGAGGTCATGTCAACTGTCCCAGAGTACGGGGTGGTTTTTGTTGATAACTTCGCCAAAAATAGTCGCAGAACTACGATTTAAATATCATTGTGTTTGTCATGCTCAGGCACGTCGAATATGCCTTTTGTTTGGGTGAAGTCAACTTAGTGTCGATCTTAGGCCAAGACCAGGTCAAGGTCCCTCAGGTTACAAAGCTGGTTGAGTGGGGTCATGCTGCATATCATTCGATTTGGCAGTTTGTTTTTATTTTTTACTTTATCGGTAGTTCTCCCGACTCACTACCTCAGTTTGAATAACGATGAACGTACTGACGTGCATGACGTCACATAAGGTCAACAAAGCCAAATTGTTGCATCGGGCCTTGCGATAAGTATAGGAAATCACGGTCTCATGTGCTTGAAATAGTCGGATCATTTTAGCAGCCCAAATGACAATGAACATATGTATTTCCCCATTGATTTAAATGATGAGCTCACATGACCGACCTGACCTCAGGTGACCTTTACGAAGAATACTAAATAAGAAAATTGCGCTTCCTTGGAAGGATATGAAATATACATCTCGCCGCGAAAAATTCCCAGGCACAAAGGGCCTTGCGAAATAGCCGTTGATTCCGTTGATTCAGGGCAGATCTTTCAGTAACAGCATCATTTAGAGGTTAGGTCAGATCACTAACCTAAGACGTCATCACTGAACCCCTGCAATCTGCAAGGTCCAAAAACGTCGGAAAAGCGAAACGCTTTCTGTAGGTACCAGGGAGTCTGTCACAGGGTAATGAAACTTTCAGAATGCAGCGATCTCCCGTGTCCTCACAATGCATGCATCTTAGCTTTGTTTTGTTCATTAGAGCCGCCGTAAGTCAGGTCAGTCGCGTGATCTCTCCATTATAACCAATGGTGAAATATGAGGTGGTTATATAGCACCGGAAGTGATTTGGATTCTGATTTTTCTTCAACCATAACATACCTCACGCATGAAATAATAATATATAACATTCTTACGAGATAAAAATTCGGAAGGGGGCTAAAATTGGCCGCCAATTTTGGTTCAGGAGGGCGCCAATTTCGGGTCAGGAGGGCGCCAATTTCGCATCTTCACCCATAAAGAGATATAAAATTGTAAGCCTAAGCGGCAGTGCCGCAGGGTGTACCGCAATGGCTTGCCGTCGAGGGCGTCTAGAGTGTTGGACACTGGAAAGGCGCCTTTGGCGCCCGGCCATTTCACGATCATTTCGGAAATGATCGTGAAAGGAGCCATCCAGGGCGCCTTCGGAGCCCTGGATGGCGACTTCACAGAGGGCGCCTGCTAGATTTGGGAGGGGCTTAAGCCCAGTGTGCCCCCACCCCCCTTGTCTGCGCCCCTGCTTACGAGGCCCCATGGTTTTTCTTCATTTTAAGCCTTGAATGACAACATATATGATGGTTGATGTCACTAAAGTGAGGTCCTTTGAGAGCATCCGAGTTTTGCGTCAAAGTCTCCCGATGAGATTGAGTTATTGGGTAGATAGAACCAATTGAGGTCAAAATGAACTACCGAATTGAATAATACGCAGCATGACCCCCCTCGATCAACTTACATCAACTTCCTGGCATGACCGGCTTTGACTTGAGGCACTGACTACACCTTTCGTAACAGTTGATATCGCAGTTGATGGCCATGGCAAACGTTATGGTTTCATAAGCATTGCTTTGCATACATTTTCGGCAGGATGTTTTTGCCTAAACCGGTCTCCAGCCCAAGTCCCGACCTCCGAAGTCAGCACCACACCGTTTATACGGTGTGGTGAAAGTAGCATGGTGAAGTAGCAGGTCAATCATTAGGCACCCAGATGATATTACAGCCCTAAAAGCATGACTAACGCAGGAAATTTTTCAGCAAAATTTCCCAAGCTATCGCAGGTTTTGAGCGATATGGCCGCTTTTGAACTTCAGGAATGTCTTTATAATTTGTAAGTTACAAATTTTAGTGCGCCCGATGACATGGCACCGGTGGACTAGCATGACTAGCGCTAGACCAGTGCCCAAAAAACGGAAAAAAATGTAGTCACAGAAAGGCGGTACCCAGCGCGTTGGGAAGGTTTCACCGGAGTTTCTTCAAAGTTTCACCGGATTCTATAAACGTAATCGAATTTCACTTCAGTATGCGTTTCAGTGTCATGCAGATGCAAAGCAAACCTCTAAGAAGAAAATGCATTTCTTTTTTGCGAGTAAAACTAAGAATTAACAACGATTTTGGACGGTGAGGGTGGATATGCCCCCTGAATCCCTAGTGTGCCATCAATAATCATCGTAACTAATTTTATATGAACTATAGTGTCAGGTTGAAATTCCTAATTACCCAGCATCAGAGGGAATCAATTACCCAACTTCTTGCAAATAGCTAAGCGTCGATTTCCTGTAGGATACCCTTGTTCTCAGTCCCAAAGGTGTTCGCTAAACCAATTGATGACGAGAAGTGCAGTGAGTTGTTCCGAGAATTCGTCTGAGCCAAGCCGCCGTGAGAAAAAGGCGAAATTTTATCTCAAAGTTTATTGACAAATTACTCAATCACCAGGTACAAAACAAGTAGTACGTTAACTTTATTGCGAACAATGTTGACTAGGTATATATCACAGCCTGATAGCACACGGGGAACAACGGCCTGTGTATATTTGTGGCCTTCACACAGCAAAACAGGAGCAAAACCTGGCGATCAACGATCCAGTCTTCGGGACCAACTTCCAGCCGGGATTGGTCCTGCCGAAAAGACCTAGCTCAACTCTTGCACTTCTTGACTTGTGTTATTAATGATTAAATGAGATCTTACATAGGAAGAAGTTGATGAAATTTTGTCAACACTGAAATGCTATCACTTACTCAGTCATAAATTTTGGCATAAGTAGATGATGTATTATGTGCTTTGTAAGTAATCGAGAAAACATTGAAGTAACAATGCACTATGCAATGAAAGGAGAAGGTAAAAAAGTGGAATTGGTAGCGAGACCAAAACGGCAGATGGTGCCGTTTCTGAACGCCTATCAAGATAAGGTTCAGAATTTATTAATGACGAGAATTCAGTCCGCTATGCGGGACATCTATCCACTTGTTCTTGTTCTTATGTCCCTAACTTGGCAGTGAGGTACCCGATCCCGTCCCATCCCCAACCGGTCCGTATATTTAGCACGGTAATCGACAACGCTCAGTGGCACCGCCCGCCCCTCCCAACGTATATTGACCGTCACCCCGTGTGTCAATGGGCACAGGTACGCCGGGGCCGACACCGGCACAGCCACAGCCGAGGGCACGGTCACAGCTGACGGACGCGCGCGCCGCCACCGCCCCGGACAGATATAGCTACCTGATTCCGCGGAGCGGGTCCTTGTGCGCCTGGAACATTTTCACGTTGTTCATGTTCATCTGCCAGTACTTGATGTAGCCGCCGTGGTCGCCGGTTACCATCCACTGGTCGTTTCTCGACCAGATCATGGTCCGCACCGGACTGTCGTGCGCCTGGCGGAACGACAGACAATTCATACACGGGAAATACGACGGACATCGGCGACGACGGGTAAATATGGGCAAAATTAAGGTTGCTACATAGCTTTTTATTGAAGAATAAGAACCATTTCGGCCTACAATATCATTACAGGACTCAGGAACAACATGATAGGGAATATTTTGGTATGCGGCAGCCATCAGTAGGGAGACACCATGTTTCAGCCGTTCCGGGAAAGAACCCACAGGCACAAACTGTCGAGTCGCGCTAACGGTGGTATCGAAAAAATGCTTGGTCTGAAAGAGCTTCTCAATTTGATCTATGTGATATTACACCGCCCAGGCCAGAGCAAAAGCATACTGGACGGAGGACGGGAAAAGGAAAATGTAAGACTTAGCGGGATATTGTCAGACAACAGGTGGGCAGCAAAGAAACAATGCCAGGATTACGGTTAGATAATACGGGTATCCCGACAGCGAACCCGAATTCGTCCGAGTTCCCCACCACATCTTCTTCTTCCGCCTGCACTCTTCAGCCTGCCCTTGCGCTACGCAGCTACCACACACAGACAAGAATTAACACAAAACCAGCATCGGGTCTCGTCCGTCCGACCGTCTCTAACCTGCAGGATGGTCTCAAAGTTGAACGTCAGTCCGTTCCAGAGTGTGAACTCTCCCGAGGAGGCGCCCGTGATGAGCCGGCGCCCCTCGGGCGTCCAGGCCAGGCAGAAGATCGGACAGCGCATCTTGTTGGTGGCCGTGCGCACGAAGCGCGTGGTGACGGCGTTGATGGGGTTGTCGGGCGAGCCGGCCGGCGGCAGCAGCTCCGGGTAGAAGAGCACGTCCGGCTGCAGCGCCGGCCGGTCGATGGCGCTCCGCTGCCAGATGCGGTCCTGCCGATAGATGGGGGAGGGTCAATGTAAAACTCTCAGAGCATCGCATGACGCGGTCCTGCCGATGGGTCAGTGTAAGAAGCTGAGCCCCGAAATATGTGTAAGGTCCCGCAGGCTGTTGCATTACAAAAAAGGTACGCATAAAATCTTCCTAAACGAGATATACCATCAAAAGAACAAGCATAACCCCTAAAATAAAACCAAGCCCGAAAGCCCGCACACCACAGGCCGTCAGTGTCTATGCTGACCCTGACCCCTTCACCTCGCCCGCTGCTCGAGCACATTCAACTCACCTCCAAATACTTCATCACCGAGCAGTTGTAGTCGACCGTTTTGCGCATGGAACTCTTACGAAGCCGCTTTCCATCGTACTCCTCTTGGTTCATGGTGGGTTTGCCATTGTAGACGACCGGCGTGTAGCCGCGGAAGTGTGGCGGGTTCGGGTTGCCCGAGCCGCCGCCGCCGCCCGCGTGGTACTGGAACGTCGGCGCCGACGACGGCGGCGGCATGCTGGTCTGGATCATAGCTGGGCCGGCTGGAGCAGCGGCGGCGATCCTCACGTCCTGGTGGGGGAATCAGAGCGGCAGCATGAGGCAGCTGACTCGAAAGAAAACTCAATGGGCAAATGCGAGTACAACCTTTGATAATACTCTATTAAAGAAGCAAGACTGTTGTAAGGCCAGATCGTTTATATGGCCTTGGGCTGGATTAACAAAGGCAGGCATAGCAGAGCTTATTACGCACACAGCTTGTTCTCTGATGGGAAAATTAGTGTTTGTCAGGATAATTTTGTTTTAATTTGTTGCAGTCAACTTATGGATACGGTTCATTTTCCTCACTGAATTCAAAAACTCTCATTTGACTGCTCTCATTTAACTCTTGCCGGGCCAGGGGGGGGGGGTATGCAACCCCCTAAGGTTTTACAATAGTTTTACACAAAATATTTATAAGCTTCACCCGACCACACGCTAGGACAGCCAGGTACAGTTAGGTTATGTTCAGTAGGGTTAGATAAGGACAAGGTTTTGTTATATCTGCTAGTGCCTAGTTGTGTACATGATTTTAAAGGAGTAACTGATCTTATGAACAATTTTCTAGGTTGATAGGTATATGGTTTGTGACAATATTGTGTGGTTTTTATTCAATTGTTAGCTTTGAGTGCAAAAGAGAGATTTTGCCATTCAAACTGCTGCATAGCATTGTTCTTAGTAGGTATCTTAGTTCTTAAGTATTTAGCATTGTTAGCTGATGCATAAGGGGTGTTCATGGGCACCGCAAACTGCTCACTGCTGGGTGTGGTGTGTGCAGCAGGCATGGGGGTAGGGGATGGCTAGACGGTTCTGACATCATAGCTGCATGCAGTGGACAGTCCGCTGTGGCCGGCCCCAACCGGCCACAGTGGTCGCTGTGTGCGGTGACGAAAGGCTGATGTAGGGACGCAGTGGGCGGAGCTTGGATACTGTGTACGGTTCGACCGCACACGGCCCGTGAACAGCCCTATGGTTAATCATATCATGCTTTCAATTCGAAAAGTTTAAAAATAATAAAAATAGTTGAACACTTTGAAAGTAAACAGCTAGACAGGTAGCTATAAGTTATCTACACCATGCAAGAGCGCAATGCGTTGACAGCATGAGCAGGGTCCCATTGATTAAACTTTAACAATTAACTTACCTTAAATTTGAATCTCAATAACAGTTAAGCTTCATTTGACTTTTTGGTGGAAACCGATTCAAAGTTGCTGGACTCATCTACATTTCAAAACTGAAAAATATCCAAATTAAATTCGCCAAGAAACATACGTCGCGTGAGAGCACAAATGGCGCGATCCGTTTAGAGTGTTTCGACTCGTAGCATACAAAGAACGCGTATCTGAATCAAAGAATCCTTCCAAAAATTTTGTTTTTATGCCTCTGTATCAAATTACAACGCGACTCAATCAAAACTCAGCCCAAATAATAATGCAAAAAATCACCAAACCACCGAACCACTGATGCGCCACTTATTGTCGACATTCCACGCTACGCGCCGAGCTTTATGTGAAAGTTTTCGAGGAGCAAAGATAAATGACGTCATACAAATATTTTCCTACACAAAAAAACCTCAGCCCTCTTTTACTTTCTTCTACTATGCTCTCTACCATCTCTCTACGCTTGAAACTAGACACCTCGCTTTTAAATAATGGCTAATTTAGTTGCCTCGTAATCATTTCAAACGATAACTAATAATTGACGACCGAGAAATGACCAAAAAGTGACCTATATTCACAGCAAACCGCTTTGACAGACCTTCCACTCGAATGTTTCCAGTTCAGATAAAACAAATAATTTAAGTGAAGAGATAAAAGTACAAAGAAAAACAAAAACATGTACCGAAAGACACAGTTGCCGAGATCAGTGAGGAATAGGAAGCAAACGAATTTTATTTCAATGACGCAATAGGAGATAGACGCACCTTTTCATTCAGTAAGAGACGAATGGTAATAGTCGAAACCTTGAATGAGAAGAAAATCTTCAGTCACGTGACCGCTCTCCTCGGAAAAAAAATTGTAAAGATGTTGGGTGCTGTTGGAAGAGTTTGTAATTCGGTGCTTAAGGCGGCTAAACCCGCTACGAGCATCCATGCTTATCAGAAACAGGTTCTTCCCGTCCTTTACCACACAGGTATGGCTAAAAGATGTCCCATGACTCATTGATGAAATGTTAAGGTAGAATAGACGAACGCGCCGCATTCTGTGTTACGAAGCCGTGATTTATTATTATTTAATGGCTTTCGCGAGTTGAGTGTGGATGTGATACCGATTGTTTGTCCTTACCTTACCTTACCTTACCTTACTTTGATCAGAATTTTGAAAGGCTCTTTGGCCTGTGGGGTACCGTTCTCATCGAGCTCGAGGCAACTTGAATGTCAAAACTCAGTCAGGCACTGAGTACCTGATGTTTGCCCAGTGGGCGTCCAGCCTGGATTTGAAGAGGTCTACAGAGGCAGCGCTCACGACCGAGAGGGGGAGACTATTCCAGTCGTTCACTACCCGCGCACCGAACGCTTGTCTTCTCGGTCTTGATTCGGCCCTCGGCTTCAGGAGTTTCCACGGGTGACCGCGGGTGCGCTGGACTGCTGCAAGAGTGAAGAAGTCCTCTGGAAGCAGGTCCATTCCGCCGTGGAGAACCTGGTACACTTGGATCATATCCCCGCGACGTCTTCGGTAGAATAGTGATGGAAGCTTCAGTGCCTCTAGTCGTTCCTCATATGGCAGGTGTCTGATAGAGCTGACTAAACGAGTGGCTCTCCGCTGAACACGTTCGATCAGGAGTTGGTCGGCTCGGTTAAAAGGACCCCAAGCAACATTACCATACTCTAAGTGGGGGCGAACAAGTGCTCTGTACAGCAGAGGGAGTGTAAAGTCGTCAATATGCTCGAACGATCGTCTGACAACCGCCAGGATCTGGTTCGCCTTTGCCGCCGCCGCCGCTGCTTGCTTTCTGAACTTGAGGTTAGGGTCCACGTGGATGCCCAGGTCGCGTACGGTTTCAGCCACTTGCAGGTTGACCCCTCGCATCGTGTACTGGAGTTGAGCGTTGTTGGTGCCTAGGTGAAGAACCTCGCATTTGTCCTGGTTGAAGGGAAGTTGCCATCTGTCAGACCAGGCCACCACAGCATCAATGTCGGCTTGCAGAGATGCCGCTTCCGAGGGTGCTGACACGCTGCGGTAGATTTTTGTGTCGTCCGCGAACATTTTCACCATGCAGTCGACGACAGCGGGCATATCGTTGATGAAAGCAAGGAACAGGAGCGGACCGAGGACCGAGCCTTGCGGCACTCCACTTGAGACGGCAGACCAGCCAGAGAGGTGACCGTTGACGGAGACTTGCTGCTTCCGATCGGAGAGAAAAGCATCGATCCATTGAAGAAGGTTGCCTGACACACCAAGACTACGAAGCTTCAATAGAAGGCGCTTGTGAGGGACCGCATCAAAGGCTTTACGAAAATCAAGGTAAACTGTATCAACTGGGCTCCCCTGCTCAATCATCTTACTCCAGTCGTCCAGTACCTCAATGAGTTGCGAGTTGCAGGACCTCCGTGGGCGGAACCCGTGCTGGTGCTTGGAGAGCTGGTCTGTTGAGCATAGGAAATCCATGAGTTCGTCCCGGATCAGTGATTCGAGGATTTTGCACGGGATCGACGTAAGACTGATGGGACGATAGTTACCAGGAGTTTGCTTGCTGCCTTTCTTGTGAATGGGAATGACCGTTGCCGCCTTCCAAGAGTCGGGAATAACGCCTTGATCGAGAGAGGCACGATAGATGGAGGCAAGTGGACCAGCTAGTGGCCGGGATGCGAGTTGCAAGAGCTTCGGGTGTAAGCCGTCAGGGCCCTGTGCACAAGTCGTCTTCAGGGTCTCGAGCTTCCTCCTCACAGCCTCGGACGTGATCTGGATCGTCTCCAACGGACGGCCAGCGTACTGTGAGGGTGGTTCGGGAATCTGTGAGACGTCTTCGGCTGTAAAAACACTGCTAAAGAAGGCATTCAAGAGGTGCGCTTTCCCGAGATCATCGCTTACCACCAGCCCGGAGTCATCTTTGAGGTTTTCGAGCCTGGCTTTTGTTCGGATCCTAGTGTTGGAGTAGCGCCAAAAGGCTTTCGGGCATTCTTTGACGTTTCTGGCTAGGCTGATCTCCAGGTCCCTCCTCAGGTTTCTTGTCAACTTCCGTAACCGGTTTCTACACTGAGTGTACCTGGTGTAGTCAATGATATTCTTTGAACACACATATATTTTCCACAGCTCTTCTTTTCGTTTCTTCAGCCGTAGGGCCTGCCCATTTATGTAAATGTTCTTGCGATTACTTTTTCTCTTACTGGTGGGGAAACAGACATTGGCAGCTTTGAGCAAGGACTCGCACAGAAACGTATACTGCTCATCCACACTGTGGTCGTCGGCAGAGCTCCAGTCAACTTCCTCCACCAGGGCGATAAACCTTGCAGGGTTTCCTTTGAAATAGTTAGGGTGCTTCATGTGAGAGTTGTTGCGGGAAGAGTAGCAGAGCACATCAAATTGAAGAATGAGATGGTCACTTTTACCTAAGCCCGCTTCATACCTCAAGTTCTGCACCATGCCGTCCTCCAGTGTCAGAATAAGATCGAGGATGTTTGGTGTCTCACCAGTGCGGTAGCGTGTCGGTAGGGTCACCTTTTGAAAGAGGAAGCAATCGTTAAGAGCTTCCAGGAAAGCATGAGAATGGTCTTCGGCTGGGGCAGAGGAAAACAAATTTTCCCAATCAATATGTGGTAGGTTGAAGTCACCACAGACGAGAAAGTGGGATGGCATAGAAGCGCAGGCCATGCGCAAGAGCTGACATAGTTCATCAGTGCTCTCCTGCGGATGGTGTGATGGACTCCGATAGACACATCCAATCAGGAGCTTGTCGCAACCTTCCAGAGTAAGTTGTACCCAAACATTTTCAATGTAGGTGTTCAGGCCAAAAGATAGCTCTGAGACTTGCAGGTCATTCTTTACATAGATGCAAACACCTCGAAGGCTACTAGATCCTAGCTTGGGCTGGAGAGGGTCAAAGCTTGGATACATGGAGTAACCAGGCACATCCAAAAGTGCGAGAGAGATGGGAATTACTTGTGCTTTGGGTATGACCTCTGCAATTAGCATGACATCAGGTTCATCGCCAGCAATCTTCATGCATAGCTCATCCCTCTTATTTGGGAACTGGTCAGCATTAGTATATAAGACTTTCAGGCTCTTCTTCCAGTCCACTGTCGTCGCTCCAAGTCATATACCTTGAGCAGGTGTATTACCCCCGCCATTCTGTGTGGACAGAGCATTAGCCTGAGGGCCACTGTGAGTTGGATGGTCTCTGCTACACCCACTAGGGGGAACAGCCAGTCCACTCGCCCCAGCTTGCTCAGCCTGCACAACTTCCTGTGGGGTTGCTCGAGCAGGGATGTCTTCACAGCCTCCGCCCCCAGACAGAACAGCAGCACCTCCCGCTGCAGGACTGGGCAGCGCAGCCAGAGGGTCAACCTGGGAACCTGATTGAGCAGGATGGTCTCTGATACACCCGCTTGGGGGAACAGCCACTCCTCTCGTCCCAGCCCCCTTGGTCTGAGCAGCTTCCTGTGGGGGCAATTGAGTCGGATGGTCATTGTTTCTTCCCTCAGATAGGGCATTAGCTCCACCCATTGTGGTGCCTAGAGGAGGGTCAGCCTGGGGACTTGTTTGAGCAGGATGGTCTCTGCTACACCCACTTGGGGGAACAGCCACTCCTCTCACCCTGGCTCCCTTGATCTCCTTGGCATCACCCTGCAGAGTTTGAGCAGGAGGGACAATGATACTGTCATTTTGGGGGTTGGCCGGCCCCCTCAGGTCCACTGCATCAGACTGGGGGCGGATGACCCTAGAGTTGCCAGCTTCACCACTGTTGGGATGTAGAGCTGTGGTGTTTGTTGTTTCAGCTTGTATCCTGACAATCTTCCCACCTCTGATGGCCAAGTTTTGTTCACCTGCCCTTTTGCGGTTGTTAAGCTCTTCTCTCAGTTTCTTGTTCAGCTCTCTTTCCTTTCTGGTCAGGTCAGGTGAAACATATATGTTGACATACTTGTTGGAGTGGCGCAGTTGAGGGGCTAGTCTTAGGATGTCATGTTTTGCTGCTGGGTGCTCAAGCGTGACTATCAGCAGCCTTGCTTTATCTGAGACGCGTCTCCCTACACGGAATGAATTTGTCACCTCCACAATCAATTTCATTTCATCCTTGATCATTGTTTTGAACAGAAGAGAATCATTCCTTGCACGTTCAGCGTTGGACTGCCCTACCTGCTCAGGTAAGTTGTGAACCACCAAGTTTGCTTTCCGTTTTTCCTTTTCCATAAACTCATCGAGGACTCCTGTAAGGTCATGGGCAGCTTTTTTACCTCCTGATACTGCTGAACCTGGGAGAGAGGAGATTTGGTCACTCACTTTCTTCACCACCTCAGCACATGTTCCTTTCAATGCATCAGCATATGATGTTTTCTGCTGCGAACTTTCCTTCAGGGACTCTTTGATGAGGTTAGCTTGACGAGCAAGTTCGGCCTCCTGAGCTTTGTGGATTTTGTCAGTTGCTCTGATTTGATTTTCCAGGATGGTCTGATGAGCTTTCAGGGAAGCACTAACCTCAGTGACATGTTTACGGATAGTCTCGTCAAGCTTCTCCACTTTGTTGGCAAGTGACGACAGAGGGGGACGTAGCGACTTACTCTTCTTGAGCTCACCTTTGCAGCTCACACATAACCAGGCAAGAACTTTGAACCGATCGAGAGCCTTCATTGCCGGTTTTGAGATGCCCTGGCACGAAGAATGGTACCAGTCGTGACATCTGTCACAGAGCACGCAAGCTTCACCATCCTGAAATGGCTCACCGCATACAGCTTTGCCAGGGCCTCCTTTGCAGATAGCCCCTTCGTTACTGGTGTCGCTGGAAGACCGAGAGAACGAAACAGGGCTACAACCGGGTTCCCACTTCCTGTAGACACTTTCATCTAGCTTACCGACATTTTTGCCGCTTACCGCGCTGTCCATACCTTTTTGGCGCTCAGTGACAGGTCCACCATCAGCAACACATTCTCCAACTTTACTTGTAGACTCAGATTCAGCACCTTCGGCACCTACCTCCTT